CTTTCCCCCCCCCCCCCATGGAAAATATCATAAAAATATCATATGGGAACTGTATAATTCCATTTAATGCAATCTCAAATGTTGATTGATTGATAACAAGGCAGAAATTCACCATGTTGTTGTATTTTCTGTATGTAATGATTTATCACTTACATAAATTACAGATAGTTACATTTGATTACAGATAACACTAAAAGTCAATTTTTCCACCCTGTCCCTTTGGGATCAAATATGGAACTATACGGACCCTGCATGTATTAATATTGTGATTGAACTGGATACATTTGTAGTATCAAAATAATTTCAAGCAAAGACGACTACAGCACTCAACGCTGATAGAGTTGCGGCTTCCGCTTGGGGGATCAAGAAATAAATTCTTGTATAATTCTCAGATTAGAAGTTAGGTATTTAGGGTGTATGACATTGGATTGCAAAAATATATGGATTAGAAAATTAGGGTTTGTGGCAAAGACTCAATTCTTTTGTATCGGAAAGTTAACTCAGAGCTGAAAACTTTAGAATGGTGGATACCAAGATCATTGCTTGATCTTCTCTTTTTTTAATCTCCGGATTAAATATGGCTTGTTCTCCTCTTGTTATTAATCTCCAGATTAATTAACAGATCGGGATTAAGGATATCCCATTCTAAAGTTTTCAGCTCAGTATACAGAAAAGAACAACGTGGCATATATTATTCTTGATTGTAAAAGAACAACCTTAATACTTAATTCATTTTACTCTCTATTCATGAAATGTTCTACACTTTAATGTATTACTCAGACTGCATAGTGCATAGTTTTGTACTTTACAGTTTGGTACAAAACTGTGGTGTTTTATTGTTTTCTGTGTGACTTCTTCCAAATGTACTGTATTGTACTGCAAACTGAACCTGCTTAAGTCTCCTGGTTTGCCAGATCCCAGCTGAGCTGACCCATTCATGTTTACGTTTTGAGAAGCAAAGTAATCTAGACAAAAATGAACACCAGTGAGTAGTGACCAATATCTTTGTTTGTAAAACAATGTACTGCAGTTTTTACTATGAAATTAAATCAAATTGAAAATGCTCACCATTCTTGAAGGAATGGAGTAAAATGAAATAAGAAAAATATATCAAACTTACTTTAGACTTTTGCTAAATATTGCTATATAAGGAAACTACGGTTAAAACGGCCAATGCCTAATAATCTTATGCCTTTATCTCTGCAACCTAATAGCGTAAACCTTTGTTAAAGTCATATGAAATTAGGTTGCAAAAAATATGAATGAAAAATTTGAGTTTTTTATTATTCTAAACAATAAATATACCTGACCGTAGATTTGGATTGCACTGTGTATTCTACATAGGAACATCAAGACTATTTATATTTGCTGAACTGTATTCCTTGATTTTAAAGAACTTTTCATGACTATAAATGACAATAATTGTTAAATAAAATTTAAAATCCATGAGGAAAGTATGTCAATGAAAGCTATGAGTAAAATGCTCCCAACTGGTCCGTCACTACAACTTCAACTTTTAACAAATTGAAAGGTTGCTATCACATTTTCCAATTTACATTTGCATAACATAGTCTGTAAGTGTATTGTACCGCTTAGGCTCTAGCTGTTATAAAAATTGATTAACCCATCTTTAGTTAAAAAAGAGTTTAAGATTGGACCAGGATGCATGGGAAAATAGGTGATGATCGGTCCTTGTTTCACACTGGTGGAGATTAGAGTTCGCACTTAATGTTAAAAAAAATCAAGAAGAAGATAGAACTCAACCGTTTGGAAGAAAAGATGTAGAGATATTAAAAATCATCTTGACGTTTGGAGAAAAATATCTAGAACCGTCCTTCAGTAAGGATGGATTGAGTAAGGATGGATTGAGTAAGGATGGATTGAGTAAAGATGGATTGAGTAAAGATCCATTGAGTAAGGATGCATGATTGAGTAAGGATGGATTGAGTAAGGATGGATTGAGTGAGGATGAATTGAGTAAGGATGGATTGAGTAAGGTTGGATTTAGTAATGATGGATTGAGTAAGGATTGAATGATTAAGGATGGATTGAGTAAGGATCGATTGAGTAAGGATGGATTGAGTAAGGATGGATTGAGTAAGGATGGATTGAATAAGGATTGATTGAGTAAGGATGGATTGAATAACTTGAGTAAAAAGTTACAGGCAATGACAACTTCTTGTGCACAATTGATAAAATGAAAAAGATCAAATAAAAATAGCCATTCCTGGAAGAATCAGAATATTCTTGTCTTTTATTGCCTTGTACCCGGTATCTGAACTATTTACTGAAATAGAACAAAATTAGGGCTAAGCTTGTTTAGACTTTTTTCAAGGCGTTTGTTAATGGTTAGTTGAAACTTGTTAAACGTTGTAGGTAGCCGTTTGACATTTAGCTAAAACCAGAATGTTCCATTTATTAACGATATTTTTGTTATCTTTGAAGGTAAAATTGTTAACGAACTCAATTTTAGTAACTGTCTGTAATCTTTAGCGGTGCAGCCAGTCCGCCCTTATCAAGCTGTTAACAGTTATATCTGGAAAACATTCAAAAACATCAAAAGACATAAAATTTATTGCTAAATTTCTGCAATTTTATGATGAAAAATTCAAAAATTATCTATTAAAGATATCTATATTTTCTTGATTTTTATCAAAATATTCTTAACTCACCAATCGGCACCAAATCAAGACAGTCTCCTGTTACTAAAAGCTCAAGGCGCTTTTTTTTCCGCGTGAGAATTTGGAAATGTGTGGTTTGGTTATTTGTGTGTACACTTTCATCCTCGTGGTATAATGGGGATATAAGTTCCATTGTTGTAGTAGTAGTCGTTGTTGTATTAAACTCTTCAGGGTATTCATTTGGTCTTTCTATACGGGTTTCTTTCAGTTCACTAAATTTATATTTAGCTGAAGCCTCATTACACTTAATAGCTACTACTAAAGTACAATAGTACAATAGGTGGCAACAGAGAAATGGACCAATTATACACGACGTCACAAGTGTCAAATATAACAAGGAAAACGAACTTTTCTCACATTTTTCAAGATTAAATAAACGTGTAAAAACAGAAAATACTGAACACATTAAATTGATAAGATAAGAAATTTATTCTAAAATTATCAATACTATTAATAATTTTGTTGGCAACAAAAACGGAGTTGACACTTGTGACGTCAGAATACAGATGTACTGAGAATGTACAAATTCTTAGCTGACATCACTAGAATCTATTTGGTTACTACAAACTACAGAGCCGGAAATTTAAGAGATATTATTGAATGAAACTTCTGAGTGTACAAATTTTAAAAAAGTTTGAATTTTGTATTTAGGATCAAAGCTTGTCAAGTTCTTATCACTCAGAGATGTCCCGGAGGTAGGGCTGGGCACGTTCCTGGTGGAACGATCGTTCTTTCCCTAGAACGAACGGAACGATCAAGAACGATCCCATCGTTCCAAAAAAACGCCTAGAACGTGTTCTTAAAATATTGGAAGGATTAGTAAAAGAACGGAACGGGAATTGCTTGAAAAGAATGGTTAAAATCATTAACGTGTTCTTATTATCAAGAACGCGTTCTAAGTTGGGAATGCATTTTAAATCAGGAATGTGCTCTAGATCCTCTAGAAATAGTTAAAGATTTTTTGATTTAATCATTGCTCAGCCCAGAAATTATCTAAGCTTATTCTATTAACCCTAAATTTAAAATATATAATTTAAATTATTATTTACGGCCGTGAGGAACTTTTTACTAAAAAATAGTATTTTTTTTACTTTTAACTAACTCTTTTCTATAAAAATTTTGTCTTGGATGGACTTGTTCGTTACTATAGAACGGAACGGGGGATGGAAACGTTCTTGATTAAGAACAGAACAAGAGGGTTCTAAAACTAAGAACGCCAAGAACAGAACAGAATGGGAAGACCGTTCTTCTACTCAGAACGGAATGGAACGAGAATGTAACGATAAAAAAAGAGGAACGAGAACGGAACAATTTAGCTGAAGGCCCTCGTTCTAGAACGGAACGGAACGATTTAAAAAAAGTCGGAACGTGCCCAGCCCTACCCGGAGGTGCATTGTGCTTTGCTGAATGCAGTTAATGACCTTTTTATAGTATTGTGACAACTTACAACTTACGAGTAGATATTCAAAAGTAACGCTGGCCCAAATCTGAAGATTATGAAATTGGTTGAAATCAAAATTAAAATAAACAACAAATTTTGGTTTTCAATCAAAGCCTTACTTCCAAGACAACCCATGTTTCATGTAAAGAATTAAAAATTAAGCCATTCAAATAAAATCCAATTTTCTAATACCCATGTTTTACGTATACCTTGAAAAATCAAAGGTATACCCCATAATGTTGCAGAGATATAGTGATTAAAAAATTTGATTTAGGAGCAAAGACTCAATTCCAAAATTGCAATGATTTTTTTTCATTAAAAGCTTTAATAAGGAACATTTTTGATCAGTAAAACAATTCTAATCACCTTCGTAATGAATCTTCCAATCTTATCTCCTCACTCTGCAGAACTATACTCTCAGTGGAAGAAGAAACTTTAGGTTTAAGATGAAATTCATCATCAAGATCCCCTACTGTTTCTCCTGAATTAAATTTGTTTTCTTTCACAAGATCTTTTTGATTGTCGTATTCCAAAATAAGTGTATTGTTCGTATGATAATCATTTTCAGCGGTTATCTCTGTTGTCAGGTTGTCTTTTTTAGCAAGTTTTCTAGATATCATTGATTCTAAATCTAAATCATGACTTGGGATTTCAAACAACTTGTTTTCATCTTTGGTTGAATTTTCAGTATCAGCTACTTCATTAGGGTTACGGATGTCTAGAGTGTAATTGTCATTGATTTGAATCATTTCAAACTCTAAACTAGTGTCCTTCAGTTTTGGGTTATTATCACTATTGTTTTTCGTAAATTCCACTGATCTGATATGTTTTTGATTTGATTCCAAGAAAACCGACGAGTTTCCAAAATTTAATTTGGATGAATCTGAATGCTGGATTAGCTCTGTACTTTTCTGAGTAGTACTCTGAATCTTGAGCAGGAATAATCCCAGCATGAGATTGAAATTCATGATTGGTGATTGGGTCATATCTTTATATTCATTTTATTATTCAACATGAGATAAAAGCTTAACATAAAGTTACAAAATACATGGTTCTTTGCTGTTTATCCTCATCTAACTTTTTAGTTTTTCTCACTTTGTATTTTCTACATTAACTAGATTTATAGTTTTACTTTACATTCTCTATATTAACTAGATTTGTAGTTTTACTTCGTATTCTCTGTATTAACTAGATTTGTAGTTTTACTTTGTATTCTCTATATTAACTAGATTTGTAGTTTTACTTCGTATTTTCTACATTAACTAGATTTGTAGTTTTAATTTGTATTCTCTATATTATCTAGATTTGTAGTTTTAATTTGTATTCTACATATTAGCTAGATTTGTAGTTTTACTTTGTATTTTCTACACTAACTAGATTTGTAGTTTTACTTTGTTTTCTCTATATTAACTAGATTTGTAGTTTTACTTTGTATTCTCCTTATTAACTAAATTTGTAGTTTTACTTTGTGTTCTCTAAAACATTAACTAGATTTGTAGTTTTACTTTGTATTCTTTACATTAACTAAATTTGTAGTTTTACTTTGTATTCTCTACACTAACTTGATTTGTAGTTTTACTTTGTATTCTCTTTATTAACTAGATTTGTAGTTTTACTTTGTATTCTCTATATTAGCTAGATTTGTAGTTTTACTTTGTATTCTCTACATTAACTAGATTTGTAGTTTTACTTTGTATTCTCTTTATTAACTGTATTTTTTCAAAATAAACTTTCTTAAAACTTTCCCTCCTAGGAAAGTAATGTTTACAACTAGACTCTTCTCTGCTCTGTCCTAAACTAAGAATATATAAACAAATTCTGTTTATTCTCTATGAGGATAAATTCACGGAAAACATACTCGTACGCAAATAGATTGTCAAGTACAATAGATGGCAACAGAAAATTCGACCAACTGCGCACAACGTCACAAGTGTCAAATGTAAAAATAAAGACGACATTAGTTGATATGATTTCCAAAAATTAGCTGAGATAAATGTCGTCTTTGTAAGAATAGGTAGAAATTATTTACAGCTCAAAATTACATTGAGTATTTTAACTGTCGTTTGGTGGCTTTAATGTTTTTTATTCTCTGTAGCTTAGTAAACGAAATAGTCCGACTGGAGTATACACATTATATCATCATACACAACAATAGTCTGACTGGAGTATACACATTATATCATCATACACAACAATAGTCTGACTGGAGTATACACATTATATCATCATACACAACAATAGTCTGACTGAAGTATACACATTATATCATCATACACAACAATAGTCTGACTGGAGTATACGCATTATATCACATACACAACAATAGTCTGACTGAAGTATACACATTATATCATCATACACAACAAAAGTAAAAGAACAATAATTAAAATACAAAAATATTTTAAATCATTTATTAAAAAATAAATTGACTTTTTTGTTTGAAATTTCTATTTGCTCGTACGTACACATTGACAATGATAATCAGACTTTTGAGACCGGGTGAGAAAACACAATCCTTCTAAATTTATAAGAAAAAACATATACAATAAGTCACAATAAGCGCAATTTGTTCTCAACTGGTACTGGTCACAGTTAACCCATATATGTCAAGCTTAAACAGTCTTGAGATAGCCTGCAAACAATTTTTGAGACATTACTGATACAACTTTGTGACCTCGTCTTTACTTTTATTTTTAAACGCACCGGTGTGAGAAAAGAACATATATCCGGTTACATATTATAGAAATTCATGACATATTTTTTCCTCTCCTCGATAGCTCGTTATAAAGTGTAGTTGTGATCAAACATTTAAAGGGAGTGACCGGCTATGTAAGGTAGTTGAACTGAGTATGCAGTGTTGTGGAAAACTTCTTTAGGATTCATTTGAGACATATTTCACTTTTTAAAAGTCTGTAAATCCTGAGTTTGAGCGCAAATTCGACGTTCAAAACTCCTGATTTGGGGGTGGATACGCTTTCAGAATTAGTTTTTTTTTAAATTATCAATTAACGACGACATAAAATGTAAAAATATTCTACAATAAACTACAAACGTCATGTTTAGGAACATTTTGAGAAAAAAAATTAATCTTATCATCAAAAATAAGTAATCTTGTTCTTATTAGTTTCTATTATCTCATTATTCTAGTTTCTCGTTATTCGCAAATATGTTTGCAGATTTTCTATAATTCTTATTGAAAAGACGACATTTAAAGAATTTGAAGAAATCTGCGAATAAATTCAAAGAAAATTAGAAATTCAATATAATAATGAAAACGTGATAATCGATTTTAGCATTGATTTATTGACAAATTTCTTTTGTGAAATATGTTCCTATCCATCTAATTAGATTACTGTATAATTTTTACTTTATTTTTCGTTGTCGTTATTTAATAATTAAAAATAAAACTAATTCTGAAAACGTATCCACCCCCAAATCAGGAGTTTTGAACGTCGAATTTGTGCTCAAACTCAGGATTTACAGATCTTTAAAAAGTGAAATATGTCTCAAATGAATCCTAAAGAAGTTTTCCACAACACTGCATACTCAGTTCAATTACCTTACATAGCCGGTCACTCCCTTTAAGATTTCGTTTTTGCAGTTCATTTAGTTTAAATTGGTGCAAGGTACTAATGCAAGGAAGGTTATTTCAGAGGTGTACACATTTTTTGTACTGCAGTGTACTGTCTTTGGGCGGAAAAGTAAACACGAGACGAATGTTACAGCCTGACAAAGAATCCATTTTTACAAAAATAATCTATGAAATATTCTGGTCACAGGAAACTATTATGTGATTTTCAAAAATCATCAAAATTAAATGCTTTTTTCCTCCACGGATACTAAACTAACACTGATGCATCTATTCTTGTTTACAAAGTCCGCCCAGAGAGAACTGGTTTCAATTTGTACGCAGAGTATACGCGACCGCAAGTAACTTTCCTTGCAATACTACCTTGAATTGGTGTAAGTAGGGCTGGGCGTCGTTCCTGGGGAACGATCGTTCTGAAATGGGAAGGAACGGAACGGAACGAAAACTTTCAAAAAGTAGGAACACGTCCAGCTCTAGTTGTAAGAGAGCCCTTTGTCAGCCATAAAAATAATTTAATTTCTTATATCTTATTTTTTTCTTAGATAGTCTATACGTTTAAAATATGAAACTACAGATGTATATAAATACTATTGCTTGTCTGTTTGTTTGTTTGTTTATAAGTATCCAAAAAATGTCAAAACAACTGTACCGATCTGGCTTAATTTTTTTTCAAATGACCCCATTGAAGGTTTATAAAATTTCGAATCTTTTAAATCCACAAAGAAAAAGTTGATAAATCCACGAAACATTTTCTGGCTGAAAATTAATAAATAAATAAAAAAAATATTGTTTGATAATTTAAGAAGAGAAAATGCAGCAATAAATAAAAGTTAAAAACGCAGAATCCCATGCTTAGCTATTTTGCTCTTTTGCTATTTAGCTATTTTGCATGATTCATATACAAGACATATAACAATTTCGTTCTCAATATATAGATAGTATATATTTCAAATATTATATTGTAAAAAAAAGAAATACATTATAATTGTGGTTAAGAAACTGAACGCTAGCCTCCCACTTTAATTTTTAATCACTATCGTTTTGCTATGGTATAAACCTTTGTTGTCTCAAACTAATTGCACAATTAGAATGAATAGTTTAAAATGTCAAATGTCTACTATATCTAGTTGCAAACATACAAAGATTAGCAATTAAGGTTCAGTTCTTTTCTATGATTTTTTATTTATTTATTGCGCTTTTACAAATAGATTATAAAGTACAATAGTTGGCCACAGACAAATGGACCAATTATGCATGATGTCAAAAGTGTCAAATATAACAAGGAAAACGAAATTGTCTCACATTTGTTGTCATGTTTTCCTAGATCAAATAAAAAAGCGTAAAAACAGAAAATAAAGAAAACATAAAATTGCACTTATTTCACTGTAAGATAAGCCCTTTAGTCTAAAATTATCGCTATTATTTTCAATTTTGTCGGACACAAAAACTGAGTTGACACTTGTGACGTAAGAATACAGTTGTACTGAGAGTGTACAAATTCTACGTTGCCAACTATTGTACTAAGAATCTATTTGGGCTTTTACTTAAATCAGAGTTAATCCAATTCTAAATAATCATGTGTGAAATATTAAAAGATTAGTCTTTCTTTTCTTAACAATAAAAAGTTAAATGCTGAGTTTTGAAATTTTTAATGAATGGACTGGGTTAAGCTAATTCTCATAGCATGGGCACTGATATAGTCCCAGGCTACATTTATTGCATAAACCGTGCTGGTTTCTAGACTTTACAAATAGTAATTCAGAATGAACAGTACAGCTGAACTATAATTATATAATTATAAAGTACATGTTGTACCGGCTCGGAGCATGCAATTTTTAAAGTGGATGTAAGATGTATTATTCATTTATAAATTAAGTTTAACTCGTTATATCCATTTAACAGTTCAGAGTTTTGAATATAATAATGATAAACGTAGAATGTACTGCTGTATTCTGACGTCACAAGTGGCAACAGTTTCATATTCATAATAATAATAATAATAATAGTAATAATATTAATATGAAGATAAAAGTTAATTTATTGGGGCAAAAATTTCAATTACAAAAATATTTATAGCCCTGGTCGAAGTAGAGAAAAGAGATATTTATTATTTAGTACAGAAAACTCTGGAATAGGAAGACGACTTTTAGACTTAGATTATGTATTTAAAAAGTCCAATGAGCATGAGACACAGCAATTCTAAGCAGTGTAATCAGAACCATTTAATTTAATAAGTGATTTGATAAGTTATTATGGTACATTATAGGCCGTTAGAGAATTTATGTACTGTACACAATTTTGATCTGGCATACACTATGAATGATTGGGTTAGAAGGCTTAAAACTGGTTTTTGGTCTGTTTTCATTTAAATTAATTAGGATTATGTCGAAACAATAATTATAGTTTCGACATGAGCGGAGGAGTCGAGGGTTTTTGATAATAATTTTAAATAATGAATTAATTTACCTCGAGCTCCATTTTAATTTAATATGTGTAACTTTATAACTCTGACTGTGACAAAGGTTTGACTGAACTGCGACTGGGTTCGAGTCCAGTTTCGGTTGCGTTGTTTATAAATAACCAGTATACACCGAAAATGAGTTCAAAGTATATTACTGAATTTGATGTAGTCCGTCCAGGGTTATAAATCAAGGAAAGTTATTTCATAGGTTTAAACACAAGACGCATGTCTAAGCCTGACATGGGATCCATCTTTCACATAAAAATCAATGAAATATTCTGGTCATAGGAAACTATTATGTTAATTATCAAAATTATCAAAATTTAATGCGTTTAACCTCCTCGGATACTAAAGAACACTGATGCATCTATTCTTGTTTACAAATTCCGCCCAGAGAGAACTGGTTTCGAAATATGTACTCAGAGTATACGCAACTGCAGCTAACTTTCCGTCCACTATAACCTAGGTGTATTCTGAGTACAAGTTTCTCTTACCTTACCTTGCTATAGTAATACTATTTGCTTTGAAAACATCAAACACACTTAAGTATATTTATAATATCGTCTTCCTATTCCACGGCTTAAGTATATTTATAATATCGTCTTCCTATTCCACGGCTTAAGTATATTTATAATATCGTCTTCATATTCCACGGCTTAAGTATATTTATAATATCGTCTTCATATTCCACGGCTTAAGTATATTTATAATATCGTCTTCCTATTCCACGGCTTAAGTATATTTATAATATCGTCTTCCTATTCCATGGCTTAAGTATATTTATAATATCGTCTTCATATTCCACGGCTTAAGTATATTTATAATATCGTCTTCCTATTCCACGGCTTAAGTATATTTATAATATCGTCTTCATATTCCACGGCTTAAGTATATTTATAATATCGTCTTCATATTCCACGGTTTAAAAAGAATTAAGACATCAATGAGGCTGCTTTCTCGTTCGCCAGTTTCACACGAAGAATATCAGATTCAGCCTAAACAAAATATCTATAACAAGAAACGAAAATCGTTTATATTCAACAAAAAATCGCCTAACTTGATATTGCAGAGCCCAAAACTTAAGACAGGGTATGGTTATGAAAACCAGTTTTGAAACCCGGGTTTCGTGCAAGGGGTTAGGCAGTTTTGTAGATATCAATATTATTTAATTTTAGTTTCTAATAATATTAAAAACTATTTACCTTCAGATGAATTCTTGCCAAGGTTTCATTTTGAACCTTAGTTGTGTTTCCAATATCATTCGCCATATTCCTTAGGTTACCTATCATAGCGCTCACCTAAATGCATTAAACAATTTGAACATATTAAACAGATTGTTCACCTTTATATAATACAGGTTTCAGATTTTAACTTTTTTACGAGTTATTTTTATTTACAAAAAATCCAATTATAACAATAAACACTCCGGAACCTTTTGGTGGCCATACTTTTTTACTCAATTTCCAAAACCAAATAACAATTATCTTTATTACTTATGCATGCAAATAATACACCATAAAATCCCGTTTATTTCAAGTACCAGGCCGAATTTTATCCATGACTAGAGCAACCTGTATACAGAACAATAATAGACTATGTTTAAGGCAAACCAAGACAGTACGTCAAGTACCGGGCCGAATTTTATCCATGACTAGAGCTACCTGTACAGAACAATTACAGACTATGTTTAAGGCAAACCAGGACAGTACGTCAAGTACCGGGCCGAATTTTATCCATGACTAGAGCAACCTGTATACAGAACAATAATAGACTATGTTTAAGGCAAACCAGGACAGTACGTCAAGTTAATGATCCCCTTTTAGGGAAATATATATCTTCCAGCTCAAAATTTAACTAAAATAAACGATTTTGGGATTTTAAAGTATTTTTCCAAATAAATTCTTAAAAAATTCTTTTTAAGCTTAAAAAACTAAATGTTGAAAAAAAAACCCGTAAACTGGTTTTCATTCCATTATTCTCCCTCTACCTCATCCATATTCTCCTCCATCTCCTTCTCCCTGGAGTCCTGAGACCGAATTTAATGAATTTGAGCTGTGTTGCTGAACCACCTACTGCCGGCTCAAATTTGAACCACCAATTTAGAATTAAAGATTTTGGAAGGATTTGAATCGATGATTCAAATTTGAGTCGGCGGTTGGCAGTGTTCACATTCATTAAATTCAGTCCCTGTTCCCCGGATATACCCAGAGCTGCAACAAAGCAGTGGTCTGGGTTCAGAGCCTTGGCTTCCGGCAGCTGATCTCCACGTGGCATCTGAGGTTCCGCCCACACTGCGTCGTCTTCTTTAAAACCTCCACCGCGCTTCCAAAACCTGAAGGGCATTCACTAAAATGATTTTTCAATCACAATCTGCAGTGAGAACCAGACAACTGTGTAATGGGGAAATGATATCAAAGAAATAATTACATGTTATATTTGATGTTTTACGCGAAACTTAATCAATAACTTCTTAGGTCTGATTACAATGCCCCATCACTATTTCACATGATCTTTGAACTATTTAAAGTTATTATCTCGATTTTAACAGTTGTCTACCTTTTCCAGAGTTTTAAGATTCGCACTGTTCGTAAATACGTTAAGTGACCTATTTAAATTCAATATTGTATTGACATAGAATTCAAAACAATTAATTCAGAGATTTTGTGGCGTTTTTGATAAGCAGGTTTATTAAAAGTTCTTATTTCAAGCCTTTGCCTTGGAATCATGCCAAAGCATGCAGCATCCATAGCCTTCAAAGCTTTTTCAGCTAAAGCCATATCCTAAAAAGAAAAAGATATCAGCATTAATTTCAAATTAAATCAGATTCTAGGGACAAAAAGGGGAATTAAACTGAATGATAATAAAATTCTTTTTTTCGTGCTTTTGACATTCTTTTCTGAGATAGAATTTTCTTTTTTGTTCGAAAGATTTAAAATGGTAAGAGCTTTTAAAATACTAGAGGTTCCATTCTATTTTTAATTATTTTGTGACAAAAGTATCTAAAGCTTTTAAGAATGCAAAACTATTAGATACTTTTTGAAATTTCAGGAAAGATTACGTAAGACATCTTCAGAATCAAATTAATCCTGGAGAAACATGAAAACCCAAAATTGAATTTTATGCTAGATTAATTGAATTCTTTTTACCATATATATTGTTTGCCGGGTAAAATCAGACAGAGGCGCATTCCGGGGGGGGGGGGGAGCTATTGAAGCATAGCCTTCTCTGGATCAGTAAAAATTATGGTTTGTGAACAGAGCCCCCCCCCCCCTGGAAAGTAAGCAAATATAATGCAACCAGGATGAGCTCAATAACTCGGAATAAGTATAGTTCCATTGATGTAACCCCATCAGTTATCATACGAACCCGGAGCTAAGCTCAGATTGGATAGTTCTATTGATGTAACTCTTTCAGTTCTCATACAAACCCGGAGCTAAGCTCAGATTAAATAGTTTCATTGATGTCACCCCTTCAGTCCTCATACAGACCCGGAGCTAAGCTCAGATTGTAGTCTGGCCTATAAGCATGGCAGCTTATTAGCTCTTTAAATATAGCTATAGGTCGGACAGAAAGTAGAACAGATAATAAACCACCTCGTGTATAGCGTATTCAGATGTTTGGCCCATTTAAAGATGCCATCCTAAAAATCATGCTTTAAACGCGTGGAAAATCCATGCCACCATTGACCTCAAGTTATATTTAATCTAAGACCTATAGGCTTGCCCCACGATGAAGCGTAAATAGGATTTGGCAGAGTAAAGCCAAATCGATCGTAAGTTGCTGACAAAGAATTGAATTGATTCGCCATACTTGGCGGAAGTAAGGCGGAGAGTCCGTCAAAAGTTCCTTTATTCCAATAAGTTTAGTATCAAATATTATCTGTTTTTTTATGCTGTAAATACATTTTATCCTATACTCTGTAGACTTATTCACGTCAGTTTAGGCTTTAACATTTCTTCAACTTTTACCAACTTTCAATTGTAACAATACCCCCCCCCCCCCCTCCTTTAGACAATTCCTGAGTACGCCCCTGAAATGAAGATGATTATCACCTGATTAATTCCATCCACCACCTCCTCCCATCTATCTATAGTCTCCCCCTGGTTCTCCAGAGCAGACATAGTCTTCATTCCAACATCCTTAGCTTCCTCGCACATCTGGCGCATTCGTCTAGACAATTTATCTAAACTGAACTTTTTATTCAGATTAAGATAATATGCAAAGCTAATCTCATTAAATGTCCTAGGTTCTGATTGGTTTATTTCTTATTGGTCAATCTTTTGTCATTTCTGATTGGTCAATCTTTTGTCATTTCTGATTGGTCCATGTTTTGGTATTCTGATTGGTCCGTGTTTTGGTTTTCTGATTGGTCCATGTTTTGGTATTCTGATTGGTCCATGTTTTTCTATTTCTGATTGGTTCATGTTTTGCAATTTCTGATTGGTCCATGTTTTGCTATTTCTGATTGGTCCATGTTTTTCTATTTCTGATTGGTCCAAGTTTTGCTATTTCTGATTTGTCCATGTTTTGCTATTTCTGATTGGTTAATGTTTTGCAATTTCTGATTGGTCCAAGTTTTGTCATCTCTGATTGGTTCATGTTTTCCAATTTTTGATTTGTCCTTGTTTTGCATTTTTACATTATTTGCACTTTCTTACAGACTAGCTGTGAGTTCCCGGCGTTGCCCAGGTTTGAATTATTATTCACCGTTTACCCGCGCTTTGAATTATATCTTGACTAACTAAAGTTTCCGGCTTTGCCCAAGGATTTTGAAAAATGTTCAAAAATGTTTAGCCTTTGTCACCCCTCAGCTTTGTCAAGGAAACAAGTTTTTCTTGTAAAAGTTAACCTTCTCTTTTAGAACAAACTAAGAACATTTCCGGGGTCAAGGTACTAATGCAAGGAAAGTTAATTGCAGTTGCGTATACTCTGCGTACATATTGACACCAGTTCTCTCTGGGCGGAATTTGTAAACAAGAATAGATGCATCAGTGTTCGTTTAGTATCCGAGGGGGTTAAAAGCATTAAATTTTGATAATTTACAAAATAGTTTCCTATGACCAGAATATTTCATTGATTTTTTTATGTGAAAGGTGGATCCCATGTCAGGCTTCGACATCCGTCTAGTGTTTACATTACCGCCCAGAGACAGTACACTGTATGTGATCTTAAATAAAAATTTAAGGCAAATCGATCCAGAAGTTTATGAGTAATAATCGGGGACATCCAAACAAACACTCAAACAGAAATTACCACTTTACAATAGAAAGATAATTTGTTATCGAACCTTGTGGATTCTAAAGTCTCATTTGCAGTTTCGTTTATATTGTAAACAAGAACATCTCTCTCAGTAGCAGTTGGATCTTTCTCCTCTCTCTTCTTTTCTTCTTTTCCCCAAACCATCTTTATCTAGGTCGGAATTCATCAGAGTAGAGATCATCGATTTATGAATTTTTTTTAGAAATCAGCATAAAATTTCAAAGAAAATGATGGATTACATCAAAGAATTATAATTACCTTATACCTTGGATTACATGAACTTTTTTGAAATTTTTATTTTCGGGGCCTTTGTAGTGATGATTCCGATAATAAATCGTCGGATCGCAACGGTATGGACGATCTACAAACTTTTTAAAGGTCATAATGCACAACCCCAGTGGGCGGTTGGCTCAGTTCCAATATTGATGATGCCTAACCTAAAGGAAAATAATGAACTGGGAGGGTACAACTAGTTGTATGAAAATGTGCAAAAGGACTCAAAAGTAAGACCAAACTAATAATCCCCTTCAAGAAAGATGAATGTAACCTAACTATCAAATATCACATATCAAATTTAAAATTGTCTTTGTATTTATCTTTTATAAGAATTATAACTAAAGATGTTTTGTCACTTGAAACTACGTCTACAGTCCCTTTAGATTAAATCTTTTACCAAAAATCCTTCTTTTCCACAATATTTTGAGGACCACTGTATACATCAGGGACTTGTTTTGCACATGGTTAGAGTTAAATTAACATGAGATTAATGCAGTGTTCCTCAATCCTCAATCTTCATTCCTCATGGATAAATTATCAGGATTTATTTCTTCTCCATTCTCTATTGAAGATTATACTGCGACAAGAGAAAGGATGAAGATATGAAGTCAAGGAAGTAGTTATTTACATCATCACCCGCCCCCTCCCCCCATCCTTCCAATCTAGTCAAAAATGTAAAAGCACTGATTTTAGGGTTTCCAGCGAAAAGGAAAAATCATTTCGCGAAAATTTCGCATTTTTCGTGAAAAAAAATTTCGCGACCATTTTGCTTCATTTTCGCATTTTGTTTGCTCGCAAAAGATGAGATAATTTTCGCTTTTTTCGCGAAAAAAATAATGTGAAATAAAAGAATTTTTACAAACAACTGCAAAATTTCAGCGAAAAAGTTGCGAAAATTCATCAAAAAAGACTAAATTTTGAGAATTCAAGACTCATTGGGGTCACCATTAAGATCACAATTAGGTTCACCATTAAGGTCACTATCATGTTCACCATTAGGGTTCTTGTTCCTGATATATTTCTTGAAGCGAACTATCCTTGTTCCTTGATATATATTCCTTAAAGGGAACTATCCTGGTTCCTTGATATATATTCCTTGAAGGGAACTATCCTGGTTCCTTGTTATATATTCCTTGAAGGAAACTATCCTGGTGCCTTGATATATATTCCTTGAAGGGAACTATCCTGGTTCCTTGATATATATTCCTTGAAGGGAACTATCCTGGTTCCTTGATATATATTCCTTGAAGTGAACTATCCTGGTTCCTTGATTTATATTCCTTGAAGGGAACTATCCTGGTTCCTTGATATATATATTCCTTGAAGAGAACTAGCTGCAGAGATTCTGCGGTATAATTATACATATTAAAGTTTCATATAAATGTATTCCAGCGAAGACCTAATATGATAAAACACAAAAAAGACATCAATTGTTGGAAAAAATAATATATAAATGAGAATAAAAAATGTTAAGGTCAATGACCTAGATCATTTTTTCAATTTTTTTTATCAAATGAATCTGATAATTATATATTTTTTAGACACTACTTTAGCAAAGTAAACGAAAAAGTTTCGATCATCAATTTATTTTCATTTATTTACAAAATATATGTGATTAAAAAATATCAGTAATCAATATCATTGTTACGTAATCATATGCAGGATCGATAAAAATGCCTGAAAATAATTAAAAAATAGGATAATAAAAAACAAATATAATAATTTTTTTAAAAAAGTATAACATACAAAACATAAAACTGTAAGTTATTATACATTTTTTAACTGTGCACATTAAATTCATTATTTTTAAGAAGTTCTTTTTAAAAAAATATTTTTATCAAAACTATGCAATGTACAAATTTCAGATCAAAGCTCGATTTCTCAACTTTCTTCGGGTTTCTCATCTTTTATCCTAAATTTTGCTCCGACAGAGTCACAACAATTCCGCCATTTTCACCTAAAATAAGTTAGATTTTTATAATTAAAATGTTTTTTTTTGCGTTTACTCATTTACGGTGAAAAAATAAGAACAGAAAGAATGAAGATAAAAAAATCACCTTGTTAAGCGGATAGAATAAAAATCTAAAAATGACCTTGTTTAACGGTAAGAATAAACCACTAATAATCACCGTGTTTAACGGAAACAATAAAAATCTAAAAATCACCTTGTTTAACGGAAAGAATAAAAATCTAAAAATCATCGTGTTTAACGGAAAGAATAAAAATCTAAAAATGACCTTGTTTAACGGAAAGAATAAAAATCTAAAAATCACCTTGTCTAACGGAAAGAATAAAATTCTAATAATCACCGTGTTTAACGGAAAGAATAAAAATCTAAAAATGACCTTGTTTAAAGGAAAGAATAAAAATCTAAAAATCACCTTGTTTAACGGAAAGAATGAAAACTTGATGGTCTGCCTGTATATCCAGAAGATAGTCGTCCAATGGAAATATTAACCCCTTGGCATTTCTTCTCAGAATATGTTCCATCTAAAAATGAAAATTTACAGTCAGGCCCAAAAAACTACAGGAAAAAAGGAGTCAAATATTTCCCATGAATATTTAGAAAGATGAAAATTTCCCTGAAGGACGGCAGGCAGTATGGTTTTGGTGAATTATATTGATAATTTAAAAAAAATATTTTTTAAAACATCCTATGAACATAATAAAGTTAAATATTTTATGAAACTTTTTGTTCGCGATGATTGCAAATGGTTTTCTGAAACTTTTTTAAACCATCATATTGTTTCTGAATTCATTTAATTAAGTTTAGTCGAAATAAGTATTGCTAAATTTTGCTTTATATCGAGTAGATATCCTTAAAGTAAAAACTATCCGAAAACAGGAAAGATTCTACAAATAATATTTGCCAAACCAAACTAAACTTTTATTTTGAACAAAACTATTCAGTATTTATATAGAAGCACATCTAGGTATAATTTTACTCTAGTTTTGCAGTATTTTTATTCATGTAAAAACTGGTTTAGAATTTGTTGACATCCAATTCCGCTTTGAGATGAGCAAACCTTAACATTTTCCAAAATGGAGAACTTTTGTGCTAGACATTTCTTGAATGTCGCCATGTTGACCGGTGAAAGATGAAGAGGAGTATAAATGTCGTCTTCTTCGAACTTCAGGTAAAAAAGTAACCTTTAAAAAATATTATAATTATTATAATTGTTTCATTTATGATTAAGAATGTTTTACCTTTTGTCTGGATTAGAATTGTTTACAACAGCTCGTGGACTTTTCGGACTTTTCACCTCTTTCTGCTTCCGAATTCTAAACATTTTGGATTCAAATATTTGATATTATCTCGGGAAACTTTCGCTTTAAAAGCCAACCCACTTAATTCAAATTATTAAAACTAAACTAAAAACATTCCTTTGGTTATTCCGAGTTCCCCTATCAAAATTTGAGGCAAATCGGTCAGGGGGTTTAAGAGTTATGATCGGACATAATCCGACAGATATCAAACAAAAAGACAGAGATTACTAATTTATATTTATATAGATAATTTTGCTTTGAAATTGTTCAAGGTCGAAAAAAACTTTTTGTTTTCAAAATTAGACAAAAATTAAATTTCATAAAAAAATAAAAAATTCTAATTTTAGTTTAACAATCTTTGGATTAAGTATATAAGCTTCATAAAAAAAGTTAAAAAACCAGAATTTTCGTTTGACAATCCTTGGCCTTAGTATCCTTGAGTTTTTTCAATTCTATAGATGAAAACTGAAACATGAAGAGAGAGAGTTCGATCTGCAAACAAATTAGATCAATTTAAGCCAATTGACAAACTTCAAGGGTCTCTGAAAGAAGATGAATTTTGGACCTTATTCTTAAAAAAATTCTCAACTGTTTACGAATGCATCAAATTGAATTTGATGATTATAGGTCACGCACCTCTGATCTTTCAGTAAAAGTAAATTCAACCTAAATTCAGACCGCGTCAACCTTGTTGCACCGGCTAGTCCTATTGAGTGTCTGCTTTATTTACCCTATGTCCGGGCAATACAGTATAAACTGGGCCAGGAAAGGTTGACCCGGCTGGGAAATTCAAATGTACTACAGCTGCCCTTGAGGTTGTATTATATAAATGATTAATTTTAAATTTAATTAAATAATTTACGATCTGAGTGGAATAATGCAAATCTGTGAATTTGTATGGACGTTAAAATACGTTTTTAACCATTTCCTCTTTATAAACTCAACATATAGAAGTAAAATTCAATCCGACATCAGCCTTTCATTTTTCGGGAACACTCCCTTTAAAGTAAAATTTGGGTGATCCCCCCATTATATAACTGCATGCTATATTCACAAAAGTACTGTTTACATCTTCATCATCAAAATAAAAAGGAAACTTTAGTCGTTTTTTTCAATCTTAAAATGTGTAAAATTTGGTCAATTCCTTTGTTTAAATCTGCTGCAAAAATCCGATATTTAATTTTAAAGAGCAACCACAGTAAAAAATGTTGAATTTTCAGATGGAAAATTTAAATGGAGGCCGGTCACTTTAAGATAAAAAAGTTATTTTTCTATTTTGGAAATGAAAAAATGTTCAACCTGGCGATGTTGATGAGTTCATCTAGTTCTTGTTCAAGTAGTTCTGCTCGGGCTAGGTTCAGCTGTCTTCGCTTTACTCCGGTATCTCTACAAAAACAGGTTTTAAACGATTCACAAAGACGACATTTTTTAACATTGCTTTATTTACCAATTTATTAAGTTTCTAGTGCGTAGCATTTTAAATAATTTACTGCAATGGATTTCTGTACTGTACTGTACTGCACTGTACTGTACTGCACTGTACTGTACTGTCCCGTCTTGTCTTGTATGGTCTACACGTGTACCGTACAGCCTGCTTTAGATACTTTAAATTTACAGGAGTTATCGGTGTTATACAGTTTTTGAATGCTCTTGTTAAATTCATAAAATAATAAATAAGCTTGGAATTCTCAGAATATGAACAACAGTAGAAGCAACAGGTTATTATAAGTTTTTTAACATTGAAGAAATTGAGCCTTGGCCACAAAATCTTATCCCTATATCTTTGCAACCTGATGGTGTTAACCTTTAATATTTCAAACTTAGATTATTTGGTCTAACAGAATTCAAAGTTTGAAATTATAAGATCTACTACATTGGTTTGTAAAGATATTGGGATTAGAAAATCTGAGTTTGTGGGAAAGACTCAATTCCTTTTTATTGTTGTTTTTGTTAAGCATGAAGTATTTAAACCAAAAATCAAGAAAAATAAATAACAATTTGGCACTCTGGGGAAGGCATTGGGTAAAATACCTTACACGGTTAATTACCTCATAATTTCCGAGTTGGTTTCCTTGTTTAATCCTTCAACCTCATCCTCACTTGCAGGGGACTCCTAAACGAATTGGTCATTTTAAAATTCGGTGTTGATGTTCCTCCAAACCCAAAAATAATAGAATATATATTAGAGTGGAATTTACTAGAAAAAAAGTGAAAAACGGCCATTTTGTTGTACTGTTTCCATTCTGCAGATGTACTTCACATATTTATGCTGTATAACCTTTTGGGCCCTGGAACATCATTTTATAGAAAATCTAAAATTAATATTAAAAGGAAACCAAATTATGAAATAGGCTGGTTTCATAATTGACAAATGATCATTTCACATAGACTCTAAGCCTTTCACTTTACAAACGATGATTTTCCGTTATAACTATAAATCAAATGATGTTTTTTATTCACCTAATTCATTTTCTAAAGTTTATTTAACAGCTTTAAAAATTCGAAATTGAAATGGATAGTCTAGGGGACATACTGTATTAATGTACTCTACTGCATATAATTTGTGAACATTTACATGATTTGTACACTTTGAAATCTCTTTCAGGCTGAAAGGGACTGAAAAAATTCATATCGAGGGATTGTCTAAATTCCACTCTAATATATATTCTATTCTCTTTGTCCAAACCTCACAGAGTAAAAAAAATAGGTATTCCACATTTTATAAAAATATATTTTGGTCTGGGTTGACCTAATTCAGTTCTTGAAATTTGTTTCTTCATGAAGTTTCAAAACAAACAGAATAGGTTATTGTCAATGTTAATATTTACATTTTAAAGGGACTGTAAACAGAATAGGTTATTGTCAATGTTAATATTAACATTTTAAAGGAACTGTAAACAGAATAGGTTAATGTCAATGTTAATATTCACATTTTAAAGGGACTGTAAGTGCCTCTGTTGATAATCCGACATTGCCATCTTTGCATGGAGGGTAACTTGAAATAAAGCTAACAGTCCCTTTAAATCATTAGAATTTTGTCAAATACCTCTTTAAACTGTCCAAATTCGCATGTTAACTTTTGAAAAAAAATAAAAATAAGAAGTTTCTAAATTTTTCTGACATGCTTTTAGAAAACAAATTTTAAAAGAAACCAAAAATTTTTCACCTTGAAGGGATTGATTTTGTATCCTAGTTTCCTGCTCCCTCGACCCGTCTCAGGGAGAAGATCATCCAGAGCTCGCAGTTCCTAGAAAAGGGATTGTATGGATTTGGCATAATAATCCTAGAAAAGGGATTGTATGGATTTGGTATAATAATCCTAGAAAAGGGATTGTATGGATTTGGTATAATAATCTAAGTTTTAAACAGATCATATTCAGCAAATCTGATATATATAGCTTTTTGTATAATTTTGACAAAATTTAATATCAATTTCTCGAGACAGGAACATCAGATAGAACTCAAATAGGTCTTGATCAACTCCTGAAATACTCAGGTTTCAACCTATATACCCCCTTTAATTTTTCCTCTACAGTCCCTTTAGGAAGATTTTGTTTTTGGTTCGCTTTTCCTGGAATAGAAATCGGCAAACTCAACTTAGACATTTTAAACGTACTAAGCTTTTAAGAACATTTCCTTGACTCTGTATGAGTTCCTCCATTCAGGCAGATCAGTTGAGCAAAAGGTTCTTTTTTATGATCGGACAAACATACAAACAAACAAACAAACAGAGATTACTAGTTTATTTATAAATTTATATATATATATATAAATATATATTTACCTGATGTGAGAAGACGCACTCCACGAACTTCCTGATGACGCAGATGACGACGAGCATGACGGGGAAGGCGATGGAGGTGGAGGGGTAGGACTTGATCATCCATAATCCAGCCAAACTCAACAACTGTACACAATAGTTTTATAATTTGGACAGTGAGAACCAAAATCTCTGGAACAGGAAGACGACTTTTAGACTCAAACTGCGTCTTAAAATATTTCAATGAACACGAGACATGCACCTATTGTGCAGTGTGAACAGACCCACTGCGCTGAAAACGTGATTCAAAAAGTTTTAAAGAATGAATGCCTGAGTTAAAAAGAATTTTGCTCAGATGTTAACAATTGTTGGCGTTTATATCAATAAAATAATGAGGAAATGGAACTGCAGAGGTTTGCCACAAACTCTGATTTTCTAATAGCTATATCTTTGCAGCTTAGTGTCGTAGACCTTAGATATCTTAAACTATAAACTCCTTTAGATCAAATGATTTAAGTTTAAAATATCAAAGTTGTGCATCATCAGGCTGCAAAGCTAGATTAGAAAAGTTGACTGTATGGAGAAAAACTAAGTCTATTGATATGTTTTTTTTTCTGTTTTGAATAAATGATAAAAACCAAAGTTAAATAGAAATTAGTCATCATTGCATTTATATAAACGCTTACTTAAAAGGTTGTAATGAGAGGAAAGTTAATTGCAGTTGCGTATACTCTGCGTACATATTGAAACCAGTTCTCTCTGGGCGTAATTTGTAAACAAGAATAGATGCATCAGTGTTCGATTAGTATCCGAGGAGGTTAACCCTATTCCCGCTGGGGGGGGGGTATGGATCCCATGTCAGGCTTCGACATCCGTCTTGTGTTTACATTACCGCCCAGAGAAAGTACAATGCAGTACAAAAGATGCGTACACCTCTAAAATAACTTTCCTTGCATTACAATCTTTCTCTTACTAGTGTATCCAATCTTAAAGTTTTCTGAAACACTAAATAAACCCTGGTCTTACCTGAATTACAGTGAAGAGATGAACCCTAGAGAGTGGAACATATTTGAGATAAACATAGTTCGGTTGATACTTCGCTGGAATGAGGAACAATAGAATTCTATCGAAGAGTTGCAGTCCTAAACAAATGGTTGAGATAAATCTAAGTTCGCTTGATAGTTCTATTGGATTAGAAACAGAAGGATTCTGTCGCATAGTTGCAGTCCTAAACAAATGATTTAGATAAACATAGTTCGGTTGATAGTTCGCTGAGATGAGGAACAAAAGAATTCTATCGAACAGGGGTAGTCCTGAACAAATGATCTAGAAAACATAGGTCTTTTGATTCTTCGCTGGCTTATAAACAAAATGATTCTAAGCTTGTTATAAAAACATGTAAAGAACATCCGTCTTCGTTGTATTGATATAAACGCCGACCTTTGTGAAGAATTTTTTAAAATTATTTAACTTTAATATTACCTCTGAGTGACATGACCCCCATGAAGAGAAAGACTCCGTATAGGACCGGCATGGGTAGAAGAGCGAGGATGGGTGTCATGAATACAGATAATCCAGTCAGGATTGCAATCAGCAGGTTGGTTACTCTTTGCTCCCGGATACCGAGGAACCTGGGCTTTTCTCCAGGTATCTTTGTCTCACTCTCCTAATTAAAGGGACTGTAGGGATCATTTTAAAGAGGGGCTTGACCGATTTACAATTTAAACCTGTATCTGATCATAATAATCATCTAGCTTGAAAAGTATTTAATTTAATTTTTTCCCTGCAGTGGACATATGCATTGCACAATGCACATGGATATTCAATTCATACTTGATCAGGCAGAGCTTTTAATTAATTGGCTTTGAGTGATATCTCAATCCAAACTCTTGAGCAAAACTCGATGAAAATTTAGAAAACTACTCCTCAAAAACTCAAGGTTAAAAAACAGGTGCTTTAAAGTTTTTGAAAAATAAGTTCCAACAGTATGAGTGAGTTAGTGAGATAAAAAGTCCAGTTTAAAATACAAGGTCCAACAGTATAAGTGAGTTAGTGAGATAAAAAGTCAAGTTTAAAATATAAGATCCAACAGTATAAGTGAGTTAGTGAGGTAAAAAGTCCAATTTAAAATATAAGTTCCAACAGTATAAGTGAGTTTGTGAGATAAAAAGTCAAGTTTAAAATATAAGGTCCAACAGTATAAGTGAGTTAGTGAGATAAAAAGTCCAGTTTAAAATATAAGTTCCAACAGTATAAGTGAGTTAGTGAGATAAAAAGTCCAATTTAAAATATAAGATCAAACAGTATAAGTGAGTTAGTGAGATAAAAAGTCCAGTTTAAAATATAAGATCAAACAGTATAAGTGAGTTGGTGAGTTAAAAAGTCCAATTTAAAATATAAGTTCCAACAGTATGAGTGAGTTAGTGAGATAAAAAGTCCAGTTTAAAATATAAGTTCCAACAGTATAAGTGATTTAGTGAGATAAAAATTCCAGTTTAAAATATAAGTTCCAACAGTATAAGTGAGTTAGTGAGATAAAAATTCCAGTTTAAAATATATGTTCCAACAGTATAAGTGAGTTAGTGAGATAAATAGTCCAATTTAAAGAAACTATTTAATTTCTTACCTTAGTCAATGACTGCATATGATTGATGGATGGTATAGTGTTAGCAATGAACCAAGGAAGGCCGAACACGGAGGATACTACAATGATACCAGCTAGAACTAGTAGATCAAGATGATATCCACATCCCTTAACCAACCTAAAAATAGGGATATATAGGAATATATAGGGATATATAGGGATATACAGGGATATATAGGGATATATAGGGATATATATGGATACCAGCTAGAACTAGTAGATCAAGATGATATCCACATCCCTTAACCAACCTAAATATAGGGATATATAGGAATATATAGGGATATATAGGGATATACAGGGATATATAGGGATATATAGGGATATATAGGGATATATAGGGATATATATGGATATATAGGGATATATAGGGATATATAGGGATATATAGGGATATATAGGAATATATAGGGATATATAGGGATATTTAGGGATATATAGGGATATATAGGGATATAGGGATATATAGGGATATATAGGGATATATATGGATATATAGGGATATATAGGGATATATAGGGATATATAGGGATATATAGGAATATATAGGGATATATAGGGATATTTAGGGATATATAGGGATATATAGGGATATATAAAGGAATTTATAGGGATATATAGGGATGTATATGGATATGTAGGGATATACAGGGATATATAGGGATATATAGGGATATATAGGGATATTTAGGGATATTTAGGGATATTTAGGAATATATAGAGATATTTAGGGATATATAGGGATATAAAGGTATATATAGGGATATATAGGGATATTTAGGGATATATAGGGATATACAGGAATATATAGGGATATATAGGGATAATAGGGATATATAGGGATATATAGGGATATAAAGGAATTTATAGGGATATATAGGGATATATAAAGGAATATATAAGGATATATAGGTATATATATGGATATGTAGGGATATATAGGGTTAAAAAGGGATATATAGCTAGGGATAAGTAGGGATATATAGGAATATATAGCTTTATATAGGGATATATAGGGATATAGGGATATATAGGGAAATATGGCAATATATAGGAATATAAGGATATATATGGATAATAGGGATATATTGGAATTCAAACAAAGAATGAGATTAAAAAAATGACCCTATATAAATATGACGATCAGATGAAAAATAAGTCCTTACCGCTTCAATATATATGAGCTGATAGTGCAGAATTGTAGAGCACTTTTTAGAAATCATTTGAGACCTATATGACACTCCATTCATTGATTCGATCAGGAAATAAATTTATTTTCCAATTGAAGCATGGATGCAAAGAATTATAAAGAAAAGATAGTTATTACACGGGTGTACGCATCTTTTGTACTGCAATGTACTGTCTCTGGGCTGTAAAGTAAACACAAGACACCTGACATGTTATCCATCTTTCACATAAAATAACAATTAGATATTCTGGTCAAAGGAATACATTTATGTGAATTATCAAAATTAAATGCTTTTCTCCTCGTCGGATGCTAGAGAAAAACTGATGCATCTATTCTTGTTTACATAACAGCCCAGAGAGAACTGGTTTCAATATATATATATGAGAATACGCAACAGTAATTAACTTTCCTTGCCTTATTACCTTGCAAGGATGTCTGAAAAAGGACTCAATAGATTTATGTCAGAAGGCTCATCCTTTGTGGAATTGTTTAACAATTATTTTTTTTTCTTTTTGATGGTTTGTTTTTATCCAACCATGATGTCGAAAAGGGACAAGTATTTTTGGAATATTACATGAAAATTTTCATTGATTTTAAGGATGACATTTTTTTGACGACCTGAAACTCTTTAATAATAAACTGAAGAGTGAATTTAGTCGTCTGTCTTTATATACAGTTTTTAAATGAGTTGATGATATGGCAACGAAAATGAATAAATGAATAACTCTCATTCCTTGTGGGCAAACCTTTAGGTAAAGTGGGGAGCAAAACACACTCGAAGCCAATTTTTAAAGTTTTTTATTTCTAACCGATATGAGCAGATAAGAAGGATGTACAGACTATTTCAAATACCAATTATTTTGAAAATATCAAAAATAAATGTTGGGGTGCTGTTTCACACTTGGGATTTTCGGGGTCCTGGGATCCCCGCCCTCCCCCCCCCCCAAGGCAAGGAGGGTCACGGGGCCTCAAGAATCCCAAAGTGGGAAATATTAGAATACTGCAATACTATTAAAATAACTTTGAAATTTTTTTTTTAAACCTTTCAAAAAAAAGAATTGTTTAAAAATGTTGCTAATTCTTCTTACTTGTATTCCTTCCTGTTGACAATAACCGCTGTGATCTGCTGATCCATGAAGATGAGGATGGTGGCGAGGATAGCGAAGACGGGGGCGAGAAACACGTCTACCCACCAGGGGTTCGCGAGTAGGTGGTCGGGGAACATGAGGGCGTGGGTCACCAGCCAGCTTCTACCCTCCCAGGTTGGTTTAAATTCACTAAATGAACAGTGCAAAGTTTCAGAAAAATATATTTTATGGGAGTGTTCACCTATTTGTTCACATAAAATTACAATTTTTGAAGTTTTAATTTAGGAATAATTAATATATTCAGAGGCCAAATTCAAAGAATTTGAGCCGTGTCTCAAATGTGGTTCAGCGATGCGATTTAAATTCTTTGAATTCGGCTTCTAGTAAAAAAAGTAAAATCGTGGGTTGCCAGAACAATTTTTTTTTCGTAGATTTCATAAATATGATCTTTCATAAAAAGTAAAAAAAAATTACAAAACTCACAAAATTTTGCCTCGAGTTTTCTTGCAATATTTCTATGACTACTTTTCAAATTAAAGTTTCGGTAATTCTGGTCCAAATAAAGATTTTTGAACGGTAGTTAGTTTTATTCCTAATTCCAAAAATTGTGATATTATGTGCATTTTCAAATATATACAAGCAATAATTTTATCAAAATATGACGATCTCAAGGTTAAATAAAGTCTTCTACCTTGAATATCATCATTTAAAACGTTATTAACACTCCTGTATACCAAGTCCATTAGCGCCTGATCCAATCAGGGTTCAGTTTGTTGTCTATTCTGAACCAATAGAAATAGTATGGCGGTAACATCTATCTTTCTATCTATCTCATTATCTAATTAGAGTTATGAATCCTTCAATCGGCGCTATCAGTAAATGGAAATATTTGCTTCTACTGAAACTAAAGTGTTAAATGAAGTGGCGAAGAAAAAGTAAGTTTGCACTTGCAGAGAATACTGAATAAAGTGCAACAGACAGTATTAACTCCGTACAGTTGCCACTCCACCCCGGACTAACCAGAGTTAGAGGCGTTCGGCTTCTTCTATTTGAAATCATATGCGTTTTGGTTTAGATTTTAACAATATTTAAACTTACGGATTTGTTTGTTTAATACTGTTTATTCAAAACGTATATGCCGGCAAAAAAGTAATTTGTAAAAAAGGCTGAAAATTATGTTTAATAGGAGAAATTGTGATCGAAAGTCACAGCTTTCTAGAATATTGACAGAACCGTTAAATTCACGTGACTCAACTCTCATACTTTGTATGTAATCATGTTTGTATTTGTTTTGTCTCGTAATAGAATTGAGTCTGTAACTCAATTTTTCTAATCACTATATCCTTGAAGCCTGGTAGTTTGAAATATCAAATGTCTACACCATCGGGTTGAAAAAATAAAAGGGATTATAAATTTAGAGTTTGTGGCAAAGACTTAATTCCTTTGCTCCATGTACCTGGGGACTGTGAGTTTAGGAGTAGGGACTCCGGAGAAGTAGTCCAGTCCAGTCATGGATAGGATACCAATTATAACTGCGAAGTCGGAGAGAAAGTTCCGAACCCAACTCGGGAAATATCCAGTAAATCTAAATATATGATTATTGGAACTTCAGGTTTCCATTCATTGGAATGTCTTATTCACAACGGTTTCCCTTAAACAATATATATTCACTATTCTATCTTGAAAAGTGTTAAATTATGAAAATTTCCTTCAATCTCTCTGAAGTATAAATCCAAAAATCACTTGACCATATTTTGATAAATTTTTCTTTTTGATACTATTTTTTTAACAATGTAACAAACGCAAAATAAAATATTTTAAAATATGAAAAAAAAACATTTCAGATTTTTGTGGACTGTGGTCGTTTAGAAAAATTGTAACTCAGATTTAAATCAAGAAAAACGTCGAAAAAAAATCAGCTAAAATTAAAAGACTGTTTACAAATATTACCTAAACTGCTTGAGCGTGATGCTGATAAAGAAAGCTCCGAAGAAAAGCAGAACTGACATGAGGAATACATCAGTTCCATGCTCACAACCAGGACCATGTGGTACACCATACTCACGGATACAATCATCCTTGCTCAGGTTATACACAGGCTCCTGGATGTACATGGAGAGATTGAACTCTACTTCGTGAGTAATATTCGTCCCAGGAGGTAAGCAGTTGCAGGCTAGGTCATGAACACTTTCCTTGATCTCGTAGGTTTTTTGAAACGCGCTCATTATGAAAATAAACGCGACCAGTGTTGCAAATAGCTCCTCGGTGAATCGCGTGATGTAGCAAACATACGCACTCGCGTCAAACGCGACCAGGAGCAATAGCATAATCGCAACCCAGATCCCGATCCATAATCGGAGAGAGAGATAATCCCATTCTTGATCCGTGCACATCTTGTACAAGATCTTTTCAAATACATAAACTGGACCCGTTGATCCGAGCAGGTTCAAGGGTTGACCGGCAAACAGGGAGAACAGGACTCCGGAGATAAGTCCTGCAACCAGTCCTTCAATAGTTGCAATCCTTTGCCCCGTAGCTTCTCCAAGCAAAGCTCCGAACGCTACAATCGGAGCAAGGCAGGCAAAGTAGAGGAAAAGAAAGGACGAGATGCATTGTGGATGAAAACCGTCCTTGAAATCTGACCAATAATGAGGATATTTCCGTTTAATATCGTTAAGTAGTCCGCCGAAGAGACGACCGGTTCGAACGAGTCCTGATGATTCTCTGTTTCTCCGATCGTCATCAATAACATCTTCTTCATCTTCCAAGAGTTCTTTTTCCTTCTCATTCTCACCCTCGGGAGGATCAATGTAGTGGTTTGGTTTCCAGTCCCTACAATAGGGTTCAAATTAAGTAGATTGTTCAAGAATTTTAAACTAGTCTGTAACCTTGTTTTTAAAGAGTATTTAGAAGAAAACAAAAAGCACCTGCAACGAAGCTCAAACTCTTGTCTAAACGTTTCTCCGACTATTTGAGATAAATTTCGGATTTGTTTTTTTTAATATGCTAGAAAGTCTCATGGTTCATTTTGAAAACAGCTGAGTCAATTGTCACAAACTCAAATATAATAATCCCTATTCTTTTTACAACCTCATGGTAAAAGATTTTTAATTAAACAGTATTCATAGTTTAAAATATTTAAGATGTTCGACATTGGGTTGCAAAGATTCAGGAAATAGAAAATCAGAGTTTGTGGTTAAGACTCAATTCCTTTCTTAAAACTTATTTCCACAAAGATATTTTTTAACACTAATTAAGTTTAAAATTTACTTGATAAACTCTATAACAAAATGAATTATTTGATAACTAGACAACTTGATAACTAAATGAATTATTTGATAACTAGACAACTTGATAACTAAATGAATTACTTGATAACTAGACAACTTGATGAGTTCATATTTTAATTGATAACTGGATAATCGTGTAACTATAGATACTTACCTGGGTAAAGTTTTAATAGAATCAATATAATCATCTAGAGCGGAAACAATATCAGTTGATGAATCAGATTCAGACAGATTCTAGATACAGATATATATAATCATCTAGAGCGGCAACAATATCAGCTGATGAATCAGATTCAGACAGATTCTATGTACAGATTCATATATAATCATCTAGAGCGGCAACAATTTTAAAATTTTTTAAGTTTTTCGGGTTGCAAAGATATAAGAATTAGAAAAATTGAGTTTGTGGCACAACTTAATCACTTTATCTGAGGTTTCTACATTGCAAAAATGTCTTTTTACGTGATTTACTATAAGCTTCCATATTCCTTGCTGCAGAAACAATGGAGAAACTGTTAGAATTATACACTTTTCAAGTCAGAAGAACGACAATATCTTCCACGTTATTGATCAGATTAAGGTTTCAAGGGTACTGTTCAAGGGACCCTCTTTGCATAGAGGGTCCCTTGAACCTACGCGTTAAAGACAAATTCCGTATTCACAAGTCATTCAAGAAACAATAATTTAATAATTAATTTAAACAAAATCTAACCTGGGCAAACGCTCTGTCTGAAAAAGCGCTTCCCAATCCTCGTCCGATCTCGCTCATTTCTTTCTCTCCATCCTTAGTGGGTCCCACCAGCATATACAGGTACCTGGAGAAAAATAAAATTAGATCGGTCCTTTAAATACAGGGTTTCCAACATAGGATCAACTAGAGAGTTTGCAATTCTGAGCATGAGCGATGAACACAGGGTAACCCACAAAGGATGAGACTGTAAATACAGCCCGAAACTCTTTAAATTTGATGACTTCGAGGTTAAATTAAATCTATACAATCTCATCTTTTGTGGGCAACCCCGTATCATTGGAGATAAATACATTCAAGCAGTTACAAATAAAAATCTTTACCAACCTGACAACAGATTGAACATAGACGACACTTCTTCCGCTTTATTATATTTACCACTGTATCAACATCTTATATCGTGTTAGATAACTTCCAAAAGGCATTTTCACAAGGGCGACTTCCCAAACCCAAATGTGTAATTCCCGAGGGGTAACTTCCCAAAGGTTAGCTTAGGCCTTCTGAGGGGACTGACTGAGTGCTACTGCTAATACAGGCTAGGGGCTGAACGCTGAGATTAGAACAGGCTATGGGCCGAGAGCTGCGGTTAGGACAGACTTGGGAAAATGCCTTTGGGAAAGTACCTAACATAATTATATCTACCCGGTCGGAATATCAGCCACTTATATCTACCTAGTCGGAATATCAACCTAGTATATCTACCTGGTTGGAATGTCAACCTAGTATATCTACCCGGTCGGAATATCAACCACTTATATCTACCTGGTCGGAATAACAACCACTTATATCTACCTGGTCGGAATATGAACCTAGTATATCTACCTGGTCGGAATGTCAACCTAGTATATCTACTTGGTCAGATTATCAACCTAGTATATCTACCTGGTCGAAATGTCAACCTAGTATATCTACCTGGTCGGAATATCAACCTAGTTTATTTACCTGGTCGGAATAGCAACCGAGTTTATCTATCTGGTCGGAATATCAACCTAGTTGATCTACCTGGTCGGAATGTCAACTTAATATATCTACCTGGTCGGAATATCAACCTCTGGGAGATCCCCGAGTACAACAGGAGCAGCTAGTCGGATAAAGACGCTGATCGGTTTATCCAGAAAAGCTACTCTGCCAACCAATAAAACTGCTGCTTCTGCATCTGCTGGCAGCTTCTTTAGAAATGGTTGATTAACCTGGTATCGGGATAGTTTAGTTTGATTTTTTTTTATTTTTAAATAAAAAACTTAATTACTCCCCTCAAACTCTAGCTTTCTACTCCCTATATCTTTGCTACCTGCAGGTGTTAACTTTTGTTATTTTAGACACTGGATATTTTATCTTTAGAGCGGAACCATAAAATTTAGGAATAAGAAGACGTCTGTTTTACCCAATTTTTGATCAAATGAATGGGGTGTTTTGTTTTGTATAGAGGACCAGTAACTTACACAATTCAGAATGACTAGACTGTTAAGTTATTTTTTTTTCTACAAATTGACCCTGAGAAGTAAAGCGTATTCATTGACCTTTTTAAATGACGAGTTCATGATGTACAAGGGGTTGTACAATTTTAAGCTTTACAGTCTGCAAAAGCAATCTATTCTAATGTATCTAGGGTTCTATAGCTTCTGTTAAAACTATTTGATTTTTGACAACATCAAATGAACACGAGTTTGCTTAAATGTACCCTGGCTTAATCCTTAGTTTTATTGGTCTCATTGGAGCAGAATAGTTAAAAAAAATATCAAAGTTCTACGACATCAAATTGCAAGGGTTTGACATTAGAATTGGAAAATTAGAGTTTGAGAAGGGTAATCATCTTCGTTTCTAGTCCGTGAAAGTAACTGAGTTTTTACCACAATCACTGATTTTCTAATCGCTATATATGTGCAACCTGAAGGTGTAAAACTTTGATATTTCAAACTTAAGACTATTTAATATGACAAAATTCATAGTTTGAAAGGTATTATGTTGCGAGGATATAGTAATTAGAAAACCAAAGTTTCTGCGGCCTAAACAAAGTTTCTCAGTTTTTCTTCAAAATAAAAAAACTATTAACCCTTCCTTTCCGTTGGAATCATCTTTACTTAACTCTTCAACCTGTAAACTAAATAAAAATAAATACATAAATAAAAATTCTATAATGTTTGAACAATAGATTTAATATAAAGACGACTTGTTATCTCGAACTAAAATTCTCATCCAATTTCACATAATTTCACATTTCCTATTCCTGTATCCTACCTTTATGTATCCTGTATATCCTGTATCCTAGCTCTCTGTTCCTGTATATCCTGTATCCTATATATCCTGTATTCTGGCTCTCTGTATCCTGTATATCCTGTATCCTATATATCCTGTATTCTAGCTCTCTGTATCCTGTATATCCTGTATCCTGTATATGCTCTATCTTAGCTCTCTGTATCCTGTATATCCTGTATCCTAGCTCTCTGTATCCTGTATATCCTGTATCCTATATATCCTGTATTCTAGCTCTCTGTATCCTGTATATCCTGTATCCTGTATATCCTGTATCCTGTATATCCTGTATCCTGTATATCCTGTACCTGTATCCTAGCTCTCTGTATCCTGTATATCCTATATCCTAGCTCTCTGTATCCTGTATATCCTGTATCCTGTATATCCTGTATCCTAGCTCTCTGTATCCTGTATATTCTGTATCCTAGCTCTCTGTATCCTGTATGTCCTGTATCCTGTATATCCTGTATCCTAGCTCTCTGTATCCTGTATATCCTGTATCCTGTATATCCTGTATTTTAGCTCTTTGTATCCTGTATATCCTGTATCCTGTATATCCTGTATTCTAGCTCTCTGTATCCTGTATATCATGTATCCTAGCTCTCTCTATCCTGTATATCCTGTATCCTAGCTCTCTGTATCCTGTATAGCCTGTATCCTACCTCTCTGTATCCTGTATATCCTATATCCTACCTGTCTGTGTCCTGTTTATCCTGTATCCTACCTGTCTGTATCCTGTATATCCTGTATCCTAGCTCTCTGTATCCTGTATATTCTGTATCCTACCTCTCTGCATCCTGTATATCCTGTATCCTACATCTCTGTATCCTGTATATCCTGTATCCTACCTGTCTGTTTCCAGTATATCATGTATCCTAGCTCTCTGTATCCTGTATATCCTATATCCTAGCTCTCTGTATCCTGTATATCCTGTATCCAGTATATCCTGTATTCTAGCTCTCTGTATCCTAGCTCTCTGTATCCTTTATATCCTCCGTCCTAGCTCTCTGTATCCTGTATATCCTGTATCCTACCTCTCTGTATCCTGTATATCCTGTATCCTACCTCTCTGTATCCTGTATATCCTGTATCCTACCACCTCTCTGTATCCTGTATATCCTGTATCCTACCTGGCTGTATCCTGTATATCATGCATCCTAGCTCTCTGTATCCTGTATATCCTATATCCTAGCTCTCTGTATCCTGTATATCCTGTATTTTAGCTCTCTGTATCCTGTATATCCTGTATCCTAGCTCTCTCTATCCTGTATATCCTGTATCCTAGCTCTCTGTATCCTGTATATCATGTATCCTACCTCTCTGTATCCTATATATCCTGTATCCTACCTCTCTGTATCCTGTATATCCTGTATCCTACCTCTCTGTATCCTGTATATCCTGTATCCTACCTCTCTGTATCCTGTATATCTCGGTAAGGTGCTACACTGCCCCGTCTACTCCTGGTTTCTGGGCTGGCGACCCTGCTCGTCGCTGTGCTCCCCTTGTCTAGCTTCTGAGTCAGCAGGTCCTGTCCCAAACCAATCAATCAATTAACTAATCATATTAAGGTTTTGAACCGGCCATTCAAATGAAGATTTTTAGTGAATAAAAGTTTAATATCTTAATAACAGAAATATTACTGACAGGTCCTACTAATCTCTCCTTTTTTTACAAAAAAGATTTAGTTTTTCTAATTCCATAAAAATGCTTTTTGATTTGATTGAAAAGTTTCCTTAATAACAGTTGTAAGCCCAGTATCAATCTTTCTTGGTCCTTCAAACTGATGTCTAAACAAACAAACGATTAATATTAACCAAACTATTAACCTGTATCCTATATACCTGTGTTTAAGACAGTAACCAGCCTATTGTATCCTTTATTCCTGTGTTTAAGACAGTAACCAGCCTGTTGTATTCCATATACCTGTGTTTAAGACAGTAACCAGCCTATTGTATCCTATATACCTGTGTTTAAGACAGTAACCAGCCTATTGTATCCTATATACCTGTGTTTAAGACAGTAACCAGCCTATTGTATCCTATATACATATGTTTAAGACAGCAACCAGTCTATTGTATCCTATATACCTGTGTTTGAGACAGTAACCAGTCTATTGTATCTTTTATACCTGTGTTTAAGACAGTAACCAGTTTATTTTATCCCATATACCTGTGTTTAAGACAGAAACCAGCCTATTGTATCCCATATACCTGTGTTTAAGACAGTAACCAGCCTATTGTATCCTTTATACTGTGTTTAAGACAGCAACCAGCCTATTGTATTCTATATACCTGTGTTTAAGACAGTAACCAGTCTATTTTATCCCATATACCTGTGTTTAAGACAGTAACCAGCCTATTGTATCCTTTATACTGTTTTTAAGACAGCAACCAGCCTATTATATTCTATTTACCTGTGTTTAAGACAGTATAGGTTGACCAGCCTATTAGCTGTGTCCCTGGTAAGGTCTCCTTGTGTCACAAGAACATCAGCAATAGAACTGCTGATCTTAATCATATTGCTAGCCTAGATAAAAATTATAGTTAGCATTGTAGAGGAAGAAATCCCCAAACGAGGATTATGAAATCCGCAAATCAGTAGTGTCGGATCCTGGAACCAAAGAAGACATACTTTCTCTCCTATTATACACTCGTTAATTAGACTACTAGAAGCAATAAATGTATCATTATTATTGATGTTATCATAGGAGTAGAATAAAAATGAATTATACTATTCCATCATTATCATCATTATCATCATTATCATCATTATCATCATTATCATCATTATCATCATTATCATCATTATCATCATTATCATCATTATCATCATTATCATATATCTACCTGCAATTCCAACACAATGATTCCAGATTTTAAATGTTTCCTCAGGCTGAGGAGACCATGAAGAGATGGGGTTGAGACATGAGGTTTGCTCCATCTAATTAAAAAAAGTATTATGTAGATAGGACAGCGGCATGTCCGATTTACAATGGTACCGCTTAAACCTTTGTCTGATCATAGATTAAAGAAAACTCCTTATTTTTCCAGCAATAAATCTTAACTGTGGTTTCACTATAAGAAATTTGCGCATTCATGCTTCAAAGACAATTGATGAAATTAACAGAATTAACACTTTTTTTAGGACTCATAGAGAACATTTTTAGGGCTCATAGAGAACATTTTTAGGACTCGTAGAGAACATTTTTAGGACTTATATAGAACATTTTTAGGACTTATAGAGAACATTTTTAGGACTCATAGAGAACATTTTTAGGACTCATAGAGAACATTTTTAGGACTCATAGAGAACATTTTTAGGACTCATAGAGAACACTTTTAGGACTCATAGAGAACACTTTTAGGACTCATAGAGAACATTTTTTATGACTCATAGAGAACATTTTTAGGACTCATAGAGAACATTTTTAGGACTCATAGAGAACATTTTTAGGATTCATAGAAAACACTTTTAGGACTCATAGAGAACTCTTTTAGGACTCATAGAGAACATTTTTAGGACTCATAGAGAACATTTTTAGGACTCATAGAGAACATTTTTAGTACTCATAGAGAACATTTTTAGGACTCATAGAGAACACTTTTAGGACTCATAGAGAACACTTTTAGGGCTCATAGAAAACACTTTTAGGACTCATACAGAAAATTCTTAGGACTCATAGAGAATACTTTTAGGGCTCATAGAAAACACTTTTAGGACTCATAGAGAACACTTTTAGGGCTCATAGAAAACACTTTTAGGACTCAGAGAATACTTTTAGGGCTCATAGAAAACACTTTTAGGACTCATAGAGAACACTTTTAGGGCTCATAGAAAACACTTTTAGGACTCATAGAGAACACTTTTAGGGCTCATAGAAAACACTTTTAGGACTCACAGAAGAACATTTTTACCCGATTACATTCGCTAAAAAATTCAGATTAATTTATGGAAGCCACACTTTTGTATTTATACATTGAGAACAAGAGAACTCTGGATTTTTAGGAAGACGACTTTTAGACTAAAGTTATAACTTTAAAGTCCAATGAACATGAGACACAGTTATTGTGCAGTGTACTCAGACCCATTTCACCGAATGGCTGATTTAATAAGTTGCTTGTAAAACTATTTGCTTTTTGACAACATCAGATTTCTATAATGTCCTTCCTATTACACCGTTTTCTAATTCTGTACGCAATTATATTACTCTCCTTAGTGAAAATTTGCATCGATTTTGTACACTTAAATTTTGTTTGCTAACGTAATTATCAGTTTTTTTTATTTGTTTAGCTATCTTTATTCTTTGCAAAATCAACATACAGGGTTACCCGCAAAGAATGCGACTTCAGAGACGATTGTGCAGAATTTGTTTAGTCCATTTTCTTGCATTGAGCGTTTCTGTAGGCTTAAACTGGCATATTTATTTTTTTAACCATTTAGTAACCTATCCAAATACTCAATTGAATACAGGAACCATAAATTAAGCTTCAAAACGTCATATTTTAAAGTTTTGGGTCGTCTTTACAGTCTTATTTTGTGTTGGTAACCCTGTAGTTGATTATCGGAAGGATTGAATTTACTTTTTGTTTATTTTCAGATCAATATTTTCATCACTTTCTTTCATATAATATGTTTTATACTTATCTAGCTTCTTGATAAAGTTTAAAGGGACTGTAACCGTAATTTCAAGTGACCTTCCCGATTCACAACGGTACCCTTTGTCTGATTAAGTAAAAATTGATATCCATATTTATCATTTTTAAATCCGTTTATTTTCATTAGTGCTTTCTCTGCAAAAATGACTTTTGGATTTTTAATTTAGAAACATTGGTAAAAAATATAAAATTATACACTTTTACAGCTACTAGACTTTTACAACTACTAAACTTTTACAGCTACTAGACTTTTACAGCTACTAGACTTTTACAGCTAATAGACTTTTACAGCTACTAGACTTTTACAGCTACTAGACTTTTACAGCTACTAGACTTTTACAGCTACTAGACTTTTACAGCTACTAGACTTTTACAGCTACTAGACTTTTACAGCTACTAGACTTTTCTTCTATTTCAATTGTGAACATTTTCTCTTTTTTATACATTGTAAAACAAAAACTTCGCAGATCAAAAAAAAAAATTCGTGGATTTTCAAAATTTTCAAAAATCTAATTTTAGGATTACCCGAGGTCCCACAACAAGTTTGGGCCCGTTTTGAAGCTTATTGGACACAGACAGACAAACAGACAAGCAAAGTGTATATATAGCTAATAGCGACGTTATTTTCTACATGATTGTTCATATTAAGGTTTAAAGAGTACCATTGTAAATCTGGCATACCCCTCATTTTATTAATATAAGGGTCCTCGAAACCCCTTTTTCATAAATTGTGTATTAGAAGACAATCGTAACATTTTTTTAAACATTATTATTATATTTTTTGTGTGACACCTCAACCTGTAAAGAAGATCCAAAGGATATTTAGTCATTTTTTCTCATATTTTTATTGAGGAGTAAAATTTAATACAATCAAATTTTAAATGGGCAATATCACCAAAATTTGTCTGTCCCTAATAAGAATAATATTATTTTTTGTTCATTTTGAAGGTGGGATGAAAAAAGTTGAACCAGAAGATCTTCTTTAGATGTTCTTTTAGGTTCAATGTTTCAGTTTATCAAATTATCAAATTTACATGAACAAAGTATAAGTTTTCTTGTATGAAAATTGATTATCAGTTATTTGAACAAGAAATAGTGTCAGCTAAACTTCTTTTTTTACTCAATAAGTAAGATCAAGTATGGATTGTAGATATCAATAAATTAGATTTAGAAAACTGATTATTTTCAATTATGGTTTCTCTGCAAGCAAAAGTGACTTTTTGACAAAAATCAAAAACGAATTTTTCTAATTTTGAGCATCCATAATTAAGAAACTTTTCCTGGGGTCATGTGAGGTCCCACACAAAATTTTGGCCCGATCGGTTCAGCCGTTTTGACATTCATTGGACACAAACGTTCAGACAAACAAACAAACACCCAGACTTATATATAGATTATCACTTGTTACCCTTAACTAAAAAAGTTTCATTTAAATAAAAAGCTTTAATCCATACTGCCATCAGTGTAAATATATCTTTGATATCAATATTTATAATTATACAATATGTATCGTTTCTATGAAAATATGATATTTTTAAAAAAAGGTTTCCATCTCTATTTTTCACCCTTACACCACAGTGAAGAAGTGTCTGATGAGTCCACTTAGGAAAATTGCATAAATAATTTGTTATATGGAAGTGTGTGTATATGGAAGTGTGTGTATATGGAAGTGTGTGTATATGGAAGTGTGTGTAATGGAAGTGTGTGTATATGGAAGTGTGTGTATATGGAAGTGTGTGTATATGGAAGGGGGTGTATATGGAAGTGTGTGTATATGGAAGTGTGTGTATATGGAAGTGAGTGTATATGGAAGTGAGTGTATATGGAAGTGTGCGTATGATCGAATAGTTTACATAGTTAAAAAAGGTATCAATATTTTTTTTTAAAAGGGGTTTTTAGGGGGGGGCACAATGTTGCCTAGTGGGGGAGAAAGTGCCCCCCCCCCTTCACAAAATGCTCTATTACGCCCCTGAGTATATCCTGCTGATATACCATCACGCTAAATCGGAGGCTTGGCAGTTGATGACAGCTAGCTGTCATGTTTTTTGGTTTTACATTTGACACTTTAATCTTTTATGAGATATGACTCATTAAATTTATTGAAAAACAAGATTTTGAATATCAATTAATTGCGCAGTACATTGGTAGCACAAACTTGATATTAGGTCTGTTGACATATACTTTGTATAACTTCAATCCTTCCAAAGGTTTTGCAAGTTTAAAATGTGATAGAGGGTGTCCCAAAAAACATGGGAATTCAGTGACGAATTCGATATCGTCTTTGTACTGAATTAGCATTGTAATACCTAATTTCAAAAGCCATAATATTATTGTGTCTGCTAGAGTTTAATTTATGAAAACGGTAAATGGCTGTAAAGATGTGTCTATAATGTCTCCGCAAGATGAACAGTGAAGACGGTCAAGTTTACTCTGTTTGTATTCTGCAATTTTCTTGTTATACTAAGTACAACCGTATACAGTCAAAACATGAACAAACAAAATGTGAACATAGCAGACGAAACTCTTACAGATTACAGCTTTCTCAGTAGGTATCACTATACTAAACCAAAGAGTTATTTGAAAAGACGATATAGAGTTGGTTACTGAATTCCCATGTTTATTGGGACACCCTGTATCTTAGGAGCAATATGAACAAATGGGATTTTTTTACAGGTGTATATCATTTTTCAAGAGGTTTGAGATTGTTGTTTCCCAAGTAGGAGTAATCGATTTAAGACTTATTTTGTTAGGCCCCCCCAAAAAATTTTAATTTAAAAATAGAAAAACAAACTTTTTGTAGAAAATTTCATTGTGTACATTTTGAAAAAAAAATATTAGAAATTGAACAAGTTAAGGCTACCTAAAAGTTTCTTTAAAGTTTCTACTTACAATTCAGCATGAAAGGAAAAAAGATTTTTCAATCCCGATATATTTGCAACACGATATCGTAGACCTTAGATATTTTAAACTATGCTTTCTGTTAGATCAAATGGTCTAAGTTTGAAATATCAAAGGTTTGCACCATCATGGCCCATGGGTTGCAAAATTATAAGGATTAGGAAATTCGAGTTTGTGACTAAGAATCAGTTCCTTTCCGAGAAAATGATGTAAAACATAAATTTCAAAAATATTTTTTTTGTTTTTGTTTTTGTAGATAATCATCTTTTTATGGCTAAGGCATGAAGCCTATTCAATATGATAACTGTTAAATATTTAAACTGTCATCTTAAAGTTTTAACAAACAAAGGGCATACCCCAATAGGTGTTATAAGTATATGTAACAAATTTGCAAGCAAGTTTATGTCAATTGCGTAATAATATCATATTATCCAAAAATCCAATTGAGCGGTTTCCTTCTGGTCTGACAGGTTTCTAATTTGTTATTAATCTTATCTTATTAATTTAATAATAAATTATTAAATTATTAAATGTGTGTGCGCACTGTTATGCACTGTAGGGTGTTTATATTTCATCAAATAAAAACACGATGAACCAGTTGTTCAACATTTCAAAGATGAGGACAGTTTTTTCTTTCAAAAAATTGTAAATAACATTTAGGATTTTTTTACTTGTGGACTTTTATGCATAAGAAACAAGAAATAAATCATCCAATAATTGTTCTCTTGTTACGACGATATCTTGCTAATTGCTACTATGACAGTGGTTGGGTTTAAGGTACCAAGGTGAATCGGAAATATCACTCTTTATATTGGAGAATAACTTGAAGTTATGTCGACATTCCCTTTAAAAACAGTTAAAATATACAGTCCCTTTAAAAACAGTTTAAGTATTAGTTTCAACCGTTTTTTATATGTTAATTGAAACCAGTAAATAAACAAATCTCCAAGGCCTCGGAAACTCGATCTTTTTTAAGCTAACTACAGTACAGTTCAGCACAGCAAAGTATTGTTAGTACAGTATATCACAGTGCAATACAGTACAGTACACTACAGCACAATACGGTACAGTACAGAACAGAACAGTACAGCAAACACAATAATGAACAGCAAAGTGCAGAAAAGCACAGTACAGAACAGCAAAGTGCAGAACAGCACAGTACAGAACAGCACAGTACAGAACAGCGCAGTACACTGCAGCACAGTACAGAAAAGCACAGTACAGAACAACACAGTACAGAACAGCACAGTACACTACAGCACAATACAGTACAGTACAGAACAGCATAGTACAAAACAGCACAGTACAGAACAGCAGAGTACAGAACAGCAGAGTACAGAACAGCACAGTACAGTACAACAAAGTACAGAACAGCACAGTACAGAACAGCACAGTACAGATCAGCAGAGTACAGAACAGAACAGTACAGAACAGCACAGTACAGAAAAGCAAGGTACAGAACAACACTGTATAGAACAGCACAGTACATAACAGCACAGTACAGAACATAACAGCGCAGTACACTACAGCACAGTACAGAACAGCACAGTACAGAAAAGCACAGTACAGAACAGCACAGTACACTACAGCACAATACAGTACAGTACAGAACAGCATCGTACAAAACAGCACAGTACAGAGCAGCAGAGTACAGAACAGCACAGTACAGAACAGCACAGTACAGAACAGCAAAGTACAGAACAGCACAGTACAGAACAGCACAGTACAGATCAGCAGAGTACAGAACAGAACAGTACAGAACAGCACAGTATAGAAAAGCACGGTACAGAACAGCACTGTACAGAACAGCACAGTACAGAACAGCACAATACAGTACAGTACAGAACAGAACAGCATAGTACTGAACAGCACAGTACAGAACAGCAGAGTACAGAACAGCACAGCACAGAACAGCACAGTAAAGAACAGCACAGTACATAACAGCACAGTACAGAAAAGCACGGTACAGAACAGAACTGTATAGAACAGCACAGTACAGAACAGCACAGTACAGAACAGCACAGTACAGAACAGCGCAGTACAGAATAGCACAGTACAGAAAAGCACGGTACAGAACAGCACTGTACAGAACAGCACAGTACAGAACAGCACAGTACAGAACAGCACAGTACAGAAAAGCAAGGTACAGAACAGCACTGTATAGAACAGCACAGTACAGAACAGCGCAGTACACTACAGAACAGTACAGAACAGCACAGTACAGAACAACACAGTACAGAACATCACAGTACACTACAGCACAATACAGTACAGTACAGAACAGCATAGTACAGAACAGCACAGTACAGAACAGCACAGTACAGATCAGCAGAGTACAGAACAGAACAGTACAGAACAGCACTGTACAGAACAGCACAGTACAGNATACTAGACTTAATTATCTTAATTTATCTTTATATTAGATCATACTAGACTTAATTATCTTAATTTATCTTTATATTAGATCATACTAGACTTAATTATCTTAATTTATCTTTATATTAGATCATACTTGATTTTATTATCTTAATTTATCTTTATATTTGGTCAATATTCTTTATTATAACTTAATAATCCTTTATTCTAACTTCATGATCCTTTATTTTAAATTCATGATCATATATTATAACTTCATGATCATATATTATAACTTCATGATCCTTAATTCTAACTTTTTGATCCTTATTCTAAATTCATGATCCTTATTTTAACTTCATAATCCTTTCTCCTAACTTCATGATCATTTTTATAACTTTATTATCCTTTATTCTAACTTCATGATCCTTTCTCCAAACTACATGATCCTTTGTTCTAACTTCATGATCTTTTCTCCTAACTTTATGATTCTTTATTCTAACTTCATGATCCTTTATACTAAATTCATGATCAGAACTTCATAATCCTTTAATCTTACTTCTGGAATCTTTATTGTAACTTCAGAATCCTTTATTCTTATTAAATGATGTTTTCTTCTGTCTTCTAATCCCTTATTCTAACTTTTTGAGATCCTTTATTCTAACTTTTTGATCCTTTTCCTAACTTTTAAAACCTTTATTCTAACTTCATGATCTCCATAGTTTAGATTTCTCCTGGTATATATCTAGTATGTTTCCCTGACTCCGTCCGAATATTCCGTTAGCTCCAGTAGCTCTGTAAACAGGAACGGACAGTTCTAGAAATAAATGGTTAAAGAAATACGATAATATATATTTAGAAAATGAACAAGTAGTTTTTTCTGATCTGATGGTTTAAGCACAAAGATAGAGAGAGAAAAAGATTTATTAAGATTTTGCACTTAAAAATTTTTTCATTCTTTGTTAATGAAATAAATAGGTTATATGAAAAAAGATGAATTACAAAAGATAGCTAATTTTAATATAGTTTTGTGGTTTTAGTTCCTTTCTTGTATTTTAAACTAATTAAGACCAATTTCATTCCTTAAATTTTGAATATCATACGCTTTTATATATCAAATGCATAAGTTTTGATAATAATCATAATATTAGTTTTTTTTCTGTCTATGAATATCAAAAATTATAGTTAGTTTTGCAATTGCAATTTGTACTTTAAGATTTAAGACTGTACTTTAAGTTTGATAAAATGTTAAGATAATATATTTAATACTATGATCTATCACGAAGAATATGTGTTCAATAATAATTTAGAAAAGGGAGTGTTCCTCAAATTAGAATACCCTCAATCTCCCAATTATTAAATACTTTCTGGGAAAATAATTAGATTAAAAAAACACAAATTATAGGTTTCTAAAAAAGATCAAATCTATATATAAATTTGGCTTGTCTGTCCCAAATCTTTTGTGGGACTTCACGTGACCACAGGGAAGGTTTATGAATGATAAAAATTTACAAAAAATGTGTTTTAAAGGTTTTTAATTTTGTAAAAAATTTAAATTCTTGAAAATCCGCGAATTTTTTTTTAAAATCCGCAAAATTTTTTTCCAGAAGATGGGCGCGAAGAGCCCTAAAAGCCTAGTGTTCAATAAAAAAGAATTACTATGGGGTCGATTATCTTCTTCCTCATTTCTATTATTTATCTGTAAAAAAAACAAAAACATTTGCTTTAATAATAATCACAAAAAAATATAATGATTTTACTTATTGAAAATGATTAAATAAAAACAATGATTTTAAAACGCTAATATTAATGTAAAGGGACTGTAAGCGCAATTTCAAGGGACCCTGTATGTAAAGATAGCAATGCCCGATTCACCCTTAAAAGCTTTGTCTGATCAAGTATATGTATTTCTAATGCAGGATATCTTAGGAATTTTCTGATTAAACACGTTTAAACTTAGAAAAACTATGATATCTTCCACAATATTGATCAGATAAAGGTTTCAAGGGTACCGTTGTGAATCGAGCATTGCTATCTTTGTATCGAGGATCCCTTAAAATTACGCTTACAGTTCCTAAAAGAAAATGATATAATTTTCTTTTAAATAGCAATTTCCTATTTCGTGAAAGGACAGAAAGGAATAATTGAAAAAATTAAAAAACAAATTTAATCATTTTAAAGAAAATTGTTCAGAAAAAAGCTCAAAGCTGTTTAAATAATTTAATTTCTTCTTCACAACAAAGCATTGTATGCATTTGAATTCTTTCAAAATGAATTCTACAGGTTTATGATACTGTAGATTGTAGAATTAATTAATTAGTAGATTTTCACTGTAAAATGTATTAAGTAAATAAATATTATCAATAAAATTAAAATATAAAAAGTAAAATACAAGGATATTGAAAATGTATAAAGTTGACAGGAGAGCTGCCTAAACGACTCTGCAAAGAATATTTTAGGATCAGGTTCAAGATAAAGTAACATATTCTAATACAGGGTGTCCTAGATATACTGGTTTAATGATAAACTATATATACAGGGTGTCCTAGATATACTGTTTTCATGATAAACTATATAAACAGGGTGTCCTAGATATACTGGTTTCATGATAAACTATATATACAGGGTGTCCTAGATATACTGGTTTCATTAAAGGGACACAGGTCAACTCAGAAAGGTTCAAACAGGTGTTTGTAAGAAAGTGTATAAAATTGGGGGAGGAGGTGAGGGATACAGTCATTACAAGATCTCTTGTTTTGGAACCAAAATATGTTAACCCTCAAATATTGTTAGAATTCAATCTTGAAACCAAAAAATGTTTGCTTCTATAAAGAATTTGAATAATATACTATTGAATTTATAGATAGTAGAAATATTAAATTGTAGTATTCTTGGAGTTCAGAGATCATTTTATCATGATGGGTAATCTAGAAACATTTGGCCTGAGCAGCTGATCATCAACAAATTGTTTTGCTGCGGTTCTTTAGAAATTGTTCGTTGTAGACTTACATTTAAAGAATATCGGTTAAAATCGATTTTTCCTGAAACATTCTTTATCCCCTTCTCCTGCCCACAATCCACAACCTCCACCCTTCCACCTGGCTCCCCCCCTTCCTCACAGCTCCCTCTCTTTTCTTGGCTAATCCCCCTCTTTCACAGCCCCAACCCCTAACGAGGATTACCTGGTTGTTAATGAACTCTGTCATCTCCTCCTCCAAACTGATACTGTTCATCTTGGAACTGTTCTGCATCCTGGTCAACTCAAACCCGTCTCCTTGTCTAATCCAACCTTGCTCCTTGTCTAATCCAACCTTGCTCCTTGTCTAATCCAACCTTGCTTCTGGTCCAATCCAACCCTTCTCCTGGTCCAATCAAACCTTGCTCCTGGTCCAATCCAACCCTTCTCTTTGTCCAATCCAACCTTGCTCCGGGTCCGATCCAACTCTTCTCTTTGTCCAATTCAACCCTTCTCTTTGTCCAATCCAACCTTGCTTCTGGTTTAATCCAACCTTGCTCCCGGTCCAATCCAACCCTGTCAAATAAAATCAGTGCATACAGTGGGATCTTTAAAATTCTAGATTCGGTAAACGACATTGGATTTGTGCATTTAATGTCTTTTTATAAAGCAAAAACTTTTACAAGTCTAGCTCCAAAATCAACTTATAAAGTGAAATTGACCTGTGTTTCCTTTACAGTGTACACAATTGATGTGTTTTATGTTTATTGAACTATTCAAAGTCAAACATTTAGTCGAAATGGCTGTATTCCCATTCAACTATTTTACGGGTCCCACTGTGCTATAAATCACTCAAACAATCTCACTTTCCGCAGAGCTTCGTCAATTTATCACGGAAAATTTACAAAACGTTGAACATTTTGTAGTTAAAGCTCCTTTATTCTCAGAATTCAAAATTCTGTCAAAAAGAAATTTCACTTGATTGTAAAAGTTGGCTGTATACAGTGAGAGTCGGAAAACTGCAATGTGGGAAAAAAGATGACATTTTAGAAAAACTTAGATGTATTTGATGTTTTGATGCTAGTAACTTATTAAATCAGGTTAATTGGGTCTGTTTACACTGCTCAATTTCTGTTTCTCATGTTATTGGACTATTTAAAGTTATTACATGAGTCTAAAGAGTTTTTACTGTTTTTTTTACATATCCATTAAACTGTAAAATTTAAAAAAAATGGGATGAAAAATTAAACCTGTTGGTCTCGGCGGCTCATAATATTTCCTTTATTTCCATCCTTGATAGTTTGTTTACCTAAAATAAATATATTCCATATTGGATCAACACACTCCAGAATAAACTGGATTTAATTAAAACTATTTATTTCTAAAGAATAAATAGACAAACAAAGCCAAGGGTGACACGTTTCGGTATAAATTTCTTAAAGAGACAGGAGACTGACAACGGGATCATTATAGTTTCAGTCAGTAGAAGTAAATATTTCCATTTACTGATGAAAGCGCCAATTGAAGGATTCATAACTCTGATTGGATAATGAGATAGATAGAAAGATAGATGTTCCCGCCATACTATTTCTATTGGTTCACCAAACGCATGACTGAACCCTGATTGGATCAGGCATATAGGAGTGGGATGTCAAGCATCTTTCATGTAAACAGTGTCATGTCCAATTTTAAATGCAGTAACCCCCTTTACAACTTTTGTTAGTAATAATAAGGAAGAAATTCTTACTTTTGAAAAAGTTTTAAATTCTTACAATTTTGTTCATTATCTCTGCATCATAAATCCGCAAGACACTTGATCAGACGAAGGTTTTTAAGATACCGTTGTGTATGGTACATGCCACTCCATGAAAAAGTCTTGAGTTTCCTTTAAAGACAGAGTGGAACACAATTCCGCATAATTGAGCTAGATTAAGAGTTTTCAGTTGGCACGTTTCAGAGAATATATCAGAATATATGTTTATTTTACAGGGTGTCCCACGAAATATGACAGTTTAGAGAATATATCAGAATATATGTTTATTTTACAGGGTGTCCCACGAAAAATGACAGTTTAGAGACGGCTTGAAGATCATCTATGATCTTTGAAAGGATTTTTTTGACATTTATTTATCAACTTTGACATGCATAATTTTTTAAACAATAATTACAAAATTGTACTTACAATCTCTCAAAAAAGTAAACAACAAATTGAAGAAAAATAGTTCAACATTTTCTTCATTCAAACCTTTTTATATTTTATATTTTCTCTTCTTCATTGATAGATAACCACAATAAAACTATTGTTTTGGTTCGCAGTGTAATAAAGATTTTGGTCAGAAAGGAATTGAGTTTTTGTCACAAACTCAAATTTTCTAATGCTTGTATCTTGCCAATCTAATTGTGTAAGCCTTTTATATTTCAAACTTAGATCACTTGAACTAAATTCATAGTTTGAAATATCTAAGGCCTACGACGTTGAGTTCTGAAGATAAAGGGATTAAAAAATCAGAGTTTGTGGCAAAGACTCAATTTCTTTCTCTTCATCGAGCAAGCCTTTTAGATTATCAAAAGTAATCCCAAAAAGTCTAGAACCTTTGCAATACAGATAATAATGTAAGTTCGAAATCTTTTTAGCACGTCTTGCCAAAATAAAAGTATTTAGACAATTTTATGAAATGTTTATGAAATGTTTGTGAAATTTCAGACAATAAGCTTCCTAACAAAGCAGAATACAAATAAAAAACTCTTTTCAATTTCATTAAGATTAAAAAAATTTCAGAGAAAGGAATTGAGTCTTTGCCAAAATTTAAATTTTCTAATCCCTTTCTATATCTTTACAACCTGAGATTGTAAAATTGTGATATTTCAAACTTAGACAATTTGATCATTGGAAAGGTCAACAAATTTTGGTTTTTAAAGATATGGGATTAGAAAATCAGAGTTTTTGGCAAAGATTCAATTCCTTTTCTGGCTAATGTTTATGAACTCAATGTGAGTCAATCTATTACTGCATGAATTATGTAAAACTACGCAACTCGGCAACTAAGGATTTTTTTCATTCAAATCCTTCAAGTTATTTCAAGCCCTGGGCACCATGGGTTGTTATATTCCTAAGGGACAAATCACTAATCTTATAGTATCAACTCTCACGCACACAAGTAAAAATGTTAAGGATAAACTGGCCCGTCCCATTATTCTGCAAAAATGCCGTATAATTCATGAATTTAAAATTCATGCAGTTTTTTGCTTTTTTACTTGACAGATCAGCTCCCCGGGCCAAATATTAATATTTAACCAATCTTGCCAATCCACGCGAATTTAACGCCTCGGTCCTTCCCCCAGAGAACCTTGACTTTCAAACACAATTTAACGTATTTTTTTTCTCATCTCTCTTTAATACTTTTTTGTCGGCATATGCGTAGTAAAAGAAGACAAGTCCGTAAGTTTATAGATTGTTGATATAAGGACCAACACTTGAATGAACTTAAATAAAAGAAACCAAATGCATCTCGCTCTGGTTAGTCCGGGGTGAATCCTGCAAGGGTTTATCTCAGGACTGGTAGGAAAATTGCGTAATTTAAAGGGACTGGATACCTAATTCCAGGTGTATCCACTTTAGTTAGAGTGAAATGTCTTGTTAATAACGGCATCCTTTAAACCTAAACTGTGTTACAAGTGCAAGCGACTTATACAGGCGGTAAAGTGGAAATTTAATGTCCAAAAACAGGGAATTATGCTAAAAATTAGGCGTCAAACCTTATAGAAATCCAACGTATAGAAACTACTACGTATAGCAACAAGGCGTATTATCCGGGAGACATTTTTTATATTTTTGAGAAATTAAATATAATTCTCATAAAATCCTTTTATTTAAATGGTAAAACGGAATGTTATGAAATCATATTAGCATTACTGGAGAACTTTTTTTTATACTTTTAAGAATTTTTTTCTTCTAAAAATAAAACTGTAGATAGCATTTTTATAAAATATCTTTTGAATAGTAACACGCAATTCTATGTATAACCATATAATCATTCATTTATGTTGTCAGTACTCAGTACATAATAAAATCTGGGGGACCTTAAACACAATAGAGAGCAGTGCAAATGTACACGTATTAAACTATTTTGCTCCTTTAATTTCTATAGGGTATGTTAAAAAATAGAAATTATGATAATGTTTTACAAAAACGTTTAATTTCTCAAAAATATAAAAAATGTTCTCCCAAAAAATACGCCTTGTTGCTATACGTAGCGGTTTCTATACGTTGGATTTCTATAAGGTTTGACTTCTAAAAATTACGTATTTTTTTCTGCTTGTAAGAGTGCGAAATTTTGGTTTTTTGATTTTTAAAAATAGAAAATATACAAATTAGTGTTGCACTGATTTATATGAAACGTGTCAAATAAAATTTACCCGTTATAGTTATAATTGGAAAGCTTTTTATGAAAACATTGCGAATTTAAAACAAGAATAGTCCGCTTATACATATATCTGTGTATTCTGTGCTCAAAATCTTAAAGGTCTCGTCGAAAGTTAAAAATGAAGAAGCAATAAACAATTCATGTACAGTAGTAGGCGCTTATATCAATACACAAAAGACGATTTTTTATTTAAATTTTAATTGTTTACACGCTGTTTTTCAAATTACTAGTTTACAAATAATTAAAACGAAGCTTTTTAAATCGACAATTCACAACGGTACCCTTGACAGTTTTGTCTGATCAAGTATGAATTAGATACAGGATCTCCCACGAAACATGACAGTTGGTGAATAGTTTTAAATGTCTTCTTCCATCATTTTTTAAGTTAATCGATACCAAAGAGAATAACAAAAATGTTGTACGGCAGTTATGTATTATTGTTAAATTGATTACAAAGTAAAACATATATGAGTTAATATAAACAAAATGCAAAAAGTGTTTAATATCTAATACAGTTCATAGAAGAAGACATTCAAAATTATTCACCAACTGTCATGTTTCGTGCAGGGCATCCTGTATCAAAATTTGTAATTTTGAAAACTGACTATTTCCCAATTGCAGTTTCTCGACAAAAGGGACTTGCGCATTTCTACTACAAGATAACATATAGGATTTATTAGATTTAAACACTTTTAAAAAAACGACAATATCTCCCCATTATTGATCAGGCAAAGTTTTCAAGGTACCCTTGTGAATCGTACATTGCCATTTTTGTATGAAGGGTCACTTGAAAATACGTTTAGAGTCCCTTTTGTAACCTAATGGATAGTACAAACAGTCCCTTTAGTAACCTAATGGATAGTACAAACAGTCCCTTTAGTAACCTAATGGATAATACAAACAGTCCCTTTAGTAACCTAATGGATAATACAAACAGTCCCTTTAGTAACCTAATGGGTAGTACAAACAGTCCCTTTAGTAACCTAATGGGTAGTACAAACAGTCCCTTTAGTAACCTAATGGATAGTACTCTAATATATTCTTATTATAACACGTGCAATGTGTGTATGTTATTGTTTTAAACTAAATTAAGAAAAATAATCTTGCAAATTGAGTTTAAGCTTTATTAGATACAGGGCCTTATAAGACATAATTTCAAATTATCCAATATTTACGATTCACAACGATACCCTTTCTGCAACATAAATTCGAAAGTCAGTTTATAACAGCCACATTCGAAAATAATCGATTTTCAGAGGAATATATTGTAATCGTGTATGCCACGTCTTTTTTTAAAGAGAGAATCACTTTAAAATTGAAAATGGACCGAATGACGTGAATAAACTAGTTTACAGGATTACTATTAGGATGAGACTTCAGAGACGACTGTACAGAACTTATACTGTCTTTCTTTCTTTCTTAAGCAAATTATTAAATAAGCTATTGAAGGAATATTTTCAAGGAAGAAGACATGAGATAACCTTGAAATCGTCATATTTGACGAGTGTTCAGTCGTCTTTACACTCTCATCTTGTGAGTAATTCAAGTAAACAGTTCCAATGAGAGATAAAGAAATACTGGATAAACCATGCTATCCGTGGAACAAGATTTCCCAAGAGATAACTTATCAGAAGCTAAATAAACAGGGTGTCCCAAATCCCATTTTTTGATGTTTTTATTTATTCGTTTATTGGGTAGTTTTAGGGTAGTTTTTTGCGTATATTTTCGTTCGGGGTCAAAACTTGGTGTAATGTAACAAGGTACAAGGTTTTTAAAATTTTTATTCTAAGCAATTGCTTTTTTACACTTTGCGAAGTTTTGACCCTCGACACAAAAACGATGCAAAAACGATCCAAAAAGATACAAAAACGATCCAAAAACGATCCAAAAACGACACAAAAACGACACTAGAACGATCCAAAAACGATCTAAAAATGATCCAAAAACGACAAAAAAAACGATCCAAAAACAATGCAAAACGATTTACAAGACTATTGTCCCAAAATATCATGATGAAAATTTATGATGTCCATTAACAGCTTCTCTGAATTTAAAAAAAGCTTAATAGAAATAAAACCTAGATATAAACGCCGGCCATTGTATTCAAAATTCATTCAGTTTCCATCATGCCATCTATATATAAATTTGGCTGGTCTGTCTGTTTGTTTGTATCCAATAAACGTCAAAACGGCTGAACCGATCGGGCCCAAATTTTTTGTGGGACATCACGTGACCACAGGGAAGGTTTATGAATGATAAAATTTTTTTAAAAATGTGTTTTAAAGGTTTTTAATTTTGTAACAAAATTTTAATTCTTGAAAATCCGCGATTTTTTTTTAAAAATCCGCATAATTTTTTTCTTCTTTGTTTTAAAATGTAAACAAAAAGAACATGTTAACAATTTAAATAGAAGATGGGCGCGAAGCGCCCTAAAAGCCTAGTTTATACATAAATTTAGCTTTGGTGTCTGTCTGTTTGTTTGTATCCAATAAACGTCAAAACGGCTGAACCGATCGGCCCCAAATTTGTGTGGGACCTCACGTGACCCCAGGGAAGGTTTGTGAATGATCAAAATTTCAAAAATTAGTGTTTAATTTGTTTATTTTTGTAAAGTTTTGAAATGCGCGAAAAAAAAACATTATAATATCCGCAAACTTTTATTTGTTTTTGTTTTATACTGTACAAAGAGAAGATGCTCACAGATAAAGCTTTTTGTCTTCTGGCAACCATGAGCCACAACCGTACGGTCTTCCATGCCACAGCAGTTGAGTCTTCCGGTATTTAAAAACGTAATAACTCCCGGAAGACTCAACTGCTTTGGCATGGAATACCGTACGATTGTGGCTCATGGCTGCCGGACAAAAAAAAATAATATGTGACATGGAAGTATAAAATGCTCTGGCTTATGGCCACCTGCCTTCCCCCACTCATAGGATACTGACATAATAAATGTCCTTCTTTCTATGATAAAACTTTTTCAACAAGAAGCCATTCTTTTTCTGATTATAAAGTCACCAAAAATTATAATATAAAAGTATCCAAAAATGATCCAAAGGGGTTTTATTTTATGTGTTTTGTCTTTTTCACGTAGAAACTGAAAACTGTGTAATAAGAAGACGACATTAAAGCGATACTAAAGTGTATTTAATGGTGTTACAAAGCAAATAGTTTTACTACAGTGATAACCAGAAAACTCTGGAATAGGAAGACGACTTTAGACTCAAATAATGATTCTAAGTAGTCCTATGAACATAAGACACAGCAATTGTGAAGTGTAAACAGACCCATTTCAATTAATTAG